CACCAGCCTCTACCGCCTCCAGAATTTCCCAGGTTGCGCTCAGTGGCTTTTTTTGCTGACCTCGACTTCGTCCACAGTCTTGAGCCCAGAGCCCATTCTTTCCTCCTTGCGCTTCACCTCTCCTCCAGCCCTTTGTGAATCTCTATTTGTCTAGTTAACCTCAGTCATTTGCTGTCAAAGTTGATCTTGTCACCTTCAATGGGTCGAAGCGCCGTCACTACCTTGGACGCACTCTCTGACTTCTCTCCTGCCGATTGCGGGCGTGTTGTACTTTCCCATGTGATTCCAACGTCATCTTCACTCGCATCCTGCAAGACTGGCCATATTCTGGTTTGGCTACTGGCGCAAGGTCCGTCCTGAACAAGGGCGGACGGTAATACTATAACCGCCTCGGCCTCGAGCATTGCCTTAACCGGCCCCCTTTGTTACCTGCGCGCATCATCAGAAGACCCTCGAATATGAGTATCTCAGCCACCCAGGCCGTCATGGACAAGGCCGAAGACACCTCAAGTGCGATGCGAACAACCGCTGACTTGGAGGATGCGCTCGACTCCATCGCACTGGGGAACAATAACGCGGAATCAGGCGATCCGGAAATCATCCCTTTTCGAAAGAGTCCTCCCGTCACACCTCCAAAAACTATGCCCATCAGTACTCGCGACGACGGGGCTCTCATGGACCCAGGGGATGAAAGAGGAAGACAAGAGGTCAAGGGCAGTGTCATCCTGTCGACCACTGCGGCCAGGAAGAAGAAGAAGAAAAACAAGGCAAAAGCGGCTCAAGCAGCTCAGGCATTGAATACTGTCAGGGGATTCACTCCGGTCGACTCAGGTGCCGAAGAGTCGGATGTGTCACGCAACAGCCCGCGGGTTCTATCACCTATCCCTCGTTTGCCTGCGTTGGCCGGTGCCAGTCCAGGTCTAAGACCTCAGTCACCAGGTATCAGCAGCTTAAAAGCTCAGCTGGACGCACTGAACTCTCGCAGTCAAAGTCGCTCCAACTCGTGTGTCCGAAACACCATCGATTCTGAGGCCAACAGCAGCGCCGCCAGCGCAGCGTCCGACACCCAAGGAGAGGAGCTGCACGAAGACATGGTCAGCTACAATGTCCAAATCGATCAAGACTTCGTCAGTCAGTCGCTGGCAGAAACTGAAGTCGTTTCGGCAGCTTCCACCACACCTATGGATGCAGATCAGCGAGCGACTTCGATGATTGTCCGCAAAATGACCGCAGCAGACTTCACTCCCATCCGCTGCCTTGGGGACGGGGCCTTTGGGACGGTGCTTCTCGTCCGACAGAATGCCACGGGTCGTTTGTTCGCTCAGAAACAGCTTACCAAAGCGTTCCTCAAGGTTCACAAGAAGCGGATCGAGTCGACCATGTCCGAGCGAAGCATCCTCGAACTGGTCAATCGTCACCCATTCATTGTCAATCTTTACTACGCGTTCCAGGATCACGAGAAGTTATATTTGATTCTTGAATATGCTTCGGGCGGAGAACTCTTTCGTCACCTGGAGTTGGAAAAATTCTTCTCGGAAGAGGTGGCTGCATTTTACGTTGCCGAGATTGTCCTGGCTCTGGACTATCTTCACAATACGGTCGGCGTCATCTATCGTGATCTCAAACCGGAGAATTGCTTGCTGAACGCCGAGGGCCATTTGCTCTTGACAGATTTTGGTCTGAGCAAGGTTGCCGTTCAGGATCCGAGTACACCGGGAGGGAGTCGTTGCAACAGTCTCGGGGTCGGGACGATCGAATACATGGCCCCTGAGATCATCAGAGGCAGTGATGAATCCGACTGGGGTCCAGGATATGGCAAAGCGTGCGATTGGTGGTCATTGGGTGCGATGGCTTGCGATCTTATGACGGGCAAACCACCATTCGGAGGCGGCAGTTGGACCAAGATCCAGCAGAACATCATGCATCAAAAGTTGAGCCTGCCATATTTCCTGTCGCCGGATGCAAAAGACCTTCTCTCGCGGCTGTTGCGCAAGGAGCCTAAGAAGCGACTTGGCGTGGGCCCAAACGACATCAATATCATCAAGAAGCACCGATTCTTTAGAAAAATTGACTGGAAGAAGTTGGAGGCCAAGGAGCTTGAACCACCCATCAAACCCCTGGTCACCAATCCTGAATTGGCCGAGAACTTTGCCAAAGAGTTCACCGACAGAGCGATTGACACCATTACGCGAAGACACAGCCGGACCTTGAGCAAGTCTGATCCATTTGGCGGTTTCAGCTACGTTGCGAGTAGCAGTTTGCTGGAAGAATCCATGCTTTTGGAACTCGACGAGGCCATCATTGACGACGACATTTAACCAGTTATGACCGAGTGACAGAGGGATGACAGTTAGAGCCACTCGCGATAGAAAAGGGGTTGGATAGAATGGTGAGGGTGCGATCGCATACACAATTGATGACAGCGAGGCGTTCAGGACTTTTGATGGCCCATGCACTGAGACTGGGGGAGCATATGGATTTTAGATGCATTGCCGTATGAATGGATGCACAGGCATGTTTAGAGCGGTCATTGATTCAGATATACACATAGAAGCTAGATAGACATGAGACATGTTAAAACTGCCTGATGACTGATATAGTGTACAAGTACATGCTGTGAACCTGGTTATTGACCTGGTGCGACTAGCGAGGCCTGCGAGGGTCATCAAGTCCACAGGAATGTCCGAGTGCCACGTGAATTGGCGCCTGCGTCGCGTTTACGCGTCGGGCGAGTCAGAGCGCGTCCAACGACCCCGCTCCTTATGCCTCGTCTTCACCTCAGCCTCAAAGTTGCCTGCCTCGATCGTTCCCATCGTGACATGACCTCGTTCTGTGCTCTGTTCCATCCTCTTATCTCCCTCACGACCCTTTCGCTCTCCTGTTTCCATGAGTCCACTTACCTACTTCTGATCGTACTGCACACCAGCAATGGTAGCCTCAAAGATTCTCTCCCTCGAGGCTGAAGTCCTTGCGAATATCCTCGAATACGTTGACGATGAATCCCCTCATACCACTGCCGCCGTCACACAAACCTGCAAACACCTCAACTATGTGGTCAAACTCGTGCGCTACCGTCGCCTCACCATTCACTGGGACCAAAAGCTTGGCCTCTGGGTTGACTGGGCCGGCCGCAAACAAGCAGAATGGGAGACCCCCGAACTCCTCCAAGGCTTGCGACAGCTCACAGTGCGCGGAGGCGCTAGACTTGTGCTACGCCCCGAACAGTATTCGGAGACCGCCGTAGAAGAAACCTACGCCAACATTAATCGATTGAACACCGTAGTCCGGAATGTCAGCCACTTGAAGACACTGGTCTGGCAGGTTGGCTGTCTACCCACGGCAGAATTCATCCAGACCTTGCAGGCCTATCAACCAAACGTCAAAATGGAGCTCCATCGTGCCAACAGACTAGAAAAAGGGAACCGGCCACTAGAATCGGAGAAAGTCCTGTCAACAGCCGGCTTTCTGAGCACATTTTCGATGATTACCACGTCAGCCACATATGTTGAAGACACCATGCTTTTCCAGATGATACTGTGTTCGGCACCAAGCTTGAAATTCGCCTCTCTAATCTCTCCTCAAATAAGGCTGGAGGGCTCTGAGGTCGCCTCCCTTCAATCCAATTTCGAATCCTGGTTGCCACAGGATCAGAGGACGCCGAGTTCGTCACTTTATCACCTGACGTTGGATGGCTGGGAATTGTCTGGTGAATGCCTCGACTACTGGTCGCAGTACGTAAACTTTGCGTCTTTAAAGAGCTTGAAATGTAGCAGAGGTCTTGTCCGTGCGTCATTTTTTGAACGCGCATCCCAAGTATTGACGAATCTCAAAAGTGTCAGTATCAATCTTGGTCCTGAGAGCAGCCTCCTCTTCGATCGGCTTCGCATCCAACGACTTGCCGCAGCAGCGGAGCATTATATCGCCACATGCCCGCCTTTGTTGACTTTGAGTGTCTGGTCATGGAGAGGCAAAGTGCCGCTCCACACCATCCTCAATCAGCATGGAGCTAGCCTTGAGGAGCTCCAACTTCACGAGCGTGAAGATCCCGATGGTCTTTCTCTTCGAGATCCTTTCTCTGTAGAGGAACTTCGGTCCATTCGAGAGTCATGTCCCCGCTTAAGGGTACTCACGATCGATCTCAATAGAATCTCACGGTACCTCGGGATCGGGGACTATGGGGAGACGCTAGATGAGCTTCGCGGATTCAACCTCGACAAGATCCAAATTTACTTGGACAGCGGTATGCGATGGTTTCGGAGACGTGCCCAAAATCATTTCCCTTCGGATCCCGACATCGAACAACACGGCCGTCTGGTGGATGATGACCAAACACCTCCATTGGATGATGTCAACCTTCCCAGTGGATGCCGTGGAGACATTGAATTCGAGGAAGCCAAGCCTTTCAGAATCGAGACAGGAGAAGTAGATTTGGGACCTCGCATACAGGACGGATTCATCTTACTACAACCTCCGTCTACGCACAAGGACATCTGCCGCTTTCTCATCAAAACCTGGAAGATCATCTTTGCCTCCAAAACCACCGGGCCAAGACAACTCGACCTCAAATTCGGGGAGTGGGAGAGCAGGGTTCAACCTCTGTTCCTTGCAGCTGGGAGACACAGCATGAGGGACATCAAAGTTTGGTGCCGTGCAAGGCCCCATGAGAGGGACGATATGGCTGGAGAATGTGCCGTCGAGATCGATTGTTGTGGTGGACGCCATACCCGGAAGTTCGCCAGCGGTGAAGGGCACATCGAAGGCTGGTCCAAGCAGGACTACAGATAGGTGTGCTCAGTCGCGTATTTTTCTCCTCGACATGCAACAACCTTTACAATACGTCAGCGTTGGGCCAGTGGCGTCTTTACTGGCGGGAAGGCGATAGGGAGTCAATCTGCCGATCTACTTGGTTCCCTCCTGTCTCACTTGGACCTGAAATTGGCTTCGGATGTCTTGGGAGGAATAAGAAGAACGAGGCGAGCAAAGGGCTGGTATTGCTCATCATGTCAACACTGCAGATTTTGGCGGGCGAACGGTCTTTTGGGAGATCTTTTACACTACCGTAGGATCAAGGTTCCTCGAAAGCTGCACTTGTTGCTGGATATGACGACATGACCGTGGCAAATAGGCATCCTGGGCTGGGCTGGCTGGGCGGGAATGGGGTCAATAAATGAATCTGATGAGCTGATGAACGAACAAATGAAGACACGGGTAGGAAACAGCGGGACGGCTTAGTATGCCTCTCATAAGATAGATACGTAATGCCTACCACAAAACCGCCTAGGTACCTAGGCAGGGCAAGGCAGGGTTCGGGATTGAACCGACTTGACATGAATTCAAACTCCAATTCAGGTCGAGATTGGATTGAATAAAATCCAAACCCAATAATACTACATATTAAAGCCAGATTCTCCAGATTCCCCAGATTTCAATATTCCAAGACTCGACATTGTGGAACCACACCCGCAGATTCGAGACACACACGCAGGGCTCAAGCCTCAGGATTCAAGACTCAAACCCAACCCAACCAAACCGAACAGTCCAGACAGAGAATGAGAAGCAAAACAATGAACGAGGATAACGACAGAGACATGCACTACGACCCAAGCCTGACCCTGACCCAGACCCAGTCCAGCCCTAGGAGACCCCAACGACGCAGTCGACTTCGCCTCGCCGGCGCCCGAGATCACCATCCCGCCTCCTGCCCCGGCCCCGGCCCCGGAGGGCGGCGTACTTCTCATTGACATAGACATAGACACGGACGGAGATGTGGGTGTGGATTTCGACATGGCAGAAAGCGCGACGGGCATGACCGTGATGTTCTTGACCTCCTGCGCAGTCGTCATATTCGCAACGGGGACAGAGAAGCGAAATTTGGCGGTGGCGAGGACGAGGCTTTTCGTCACCGTGTTTTCTGGAGCGGCAGTGGTCATGGGGAACGAGATGGGGAAACTATACGGCACGTAGCTGTGTGTGTTGGTGGTCTCTGTTTCTCCTCCCGCACCTGCTGCTGCTGCTGCTGCTGCTGCTGCTGCTGCTCCAGCGGCTGCCGTGGCTGTGGCTTCTGCATATGCGTACACGGTCGCGGTGGCCTGGGCGGATAATGCTGCGGACGATGACCACGAGGAGACGGCGGACTCGAGGGCGGAGATGGACTGCGTGCACGGAACCGTGAGGGTCGTCATGATTTCCTCTGCGCCGCCTCCTCCTTGGCTCCCGCCTACGGCAGGAGACAACGGCGAGCATGCGGGAACGACGGTCGTGGTCATCGGCACCGTCGCCAACGGCATCTCGGAACACCCGCAATGCAAGACCGAGATGGTGGTCGTGAGACAGGTTTCTGTCCGTGGGGGGCGGGAGATTGGGTGCATGGGGCAGATGGTTGTGTATGTTGTGGAGATTACTGTTGGCGAGAGGGTTAGAGTCTGCGATGAGGAAGAGGACGAGGTAGTTGAAATGGCAATCCCTGAATTAGAGAGCGAGAAAGGTGAACTTGTCGTTTTCGTGATTGTTGGGGCCGGTGATGCCGTCCCTGAAATGCTCACGCCGACACTCACACTCGCACTCGTGCTTCCGCCGCTTGATGCTGTCATGGACGATATCGCTGTTGTTGTTGTTGTTGTCGTCATCACTGAAGAGGCGGAAAAAGAAACACTCGCATCACCACCCGTGTTATTATACATCGTCAACAGGATGGTCTCCCCATTCGCATCCGCGAGTTGTCTCCCGCCGAGTCGAGACGGGGGAGGTAGGTGGACAAGGCCACCGCATTTTTGCGCTGGATTGCCGGGGCACGTGGTGTTGCATGCGGAATCCGGGTACTGGATAAAGTCCTCCGAGGACGAGTTGTCGAGAGGTAGGGAGTAGGAGGAACAGTAGCATTGGCTAGAAAGGGCGATGGGGATTTTGTTATTATTCTATGAAACCTCAAAATTGGGGCAGGAAGCGGTAGGACAACAGCGTGAACAAACACCTCTCACTCGGGCGGGGAAAAGGAAGTAGCTCATATAAAACGGAAAACGTTCAAAACTTACGTATCATAGAGGCCGGCGTATATGTCCAAAGAGCAGTCATTCACACACGCCTCAATAGACATGAGGGGAGAGTCTTCAACCAGTGTAAAGCTGTTGGCAAACGCAGTGCCCCGCCGCGGTCCCAGACAGCCTGCAAAGGTAAAGGAGGAAACTTGGGTCGGGCCGGGAAGAGGATCTGTCGTAGTGGATGCTGTTGATCCTGTTGTTGAGACCAAGACAGTAGTTGAAGAGCCGAGAGAGCTGAGTGAAGCGGAGGGACTGCTGCTGACCACAACCTGTGAAGTCGATGTGAAGGAGAACACCGTAGAGGGAGAGATAGACGTTGATGAAGGCGGAGGTGGGGGAGACAGCGACGTGGATTCCGAGGCTATAAAGCTGCTTGTTGGCGTTGTCTGGCTGGTAGTGGGAGATGATGTCGAAGGTCCTAAGGAGACTGTTGAAGACGGCGGCGGCGGGATTGATGAAGAGACAGTGGATGAAGGGGGAGGCGATGAAGCCGGGACAGAGGCGGAAGAGACGACCGGCGTGACCTTGCTCGTGCTAGTGTGACTTCCGCTGGAGGACGCTGAACTAGGGTTGAACACCGTCGTAACAACCGTTGACGAAGACGGAGGACGAGACTGAACCTGAGACGTGACAGAAGATGCGCTAGAAGTCGAAGATGGAAACACAACAGAGGATGAAAGAATTGATGTTGTCGACGAGGGCGACGCTGAGGTGGAGGTTGGATTCGAAGTACTAACGACCGTAGTTTGTCTTGGAGGCAGGGATGACGAGCTTGACAACACTGAGCTCGAAGGGGAAATCTGTCCACTTGTTGATGGCGCCGTAGTAGTTCTTCCTGATGTTGCTGCTGCGGAAGAGGAAGAAGAAGGGGGCAAATTCGTGGCTGGCGCCGTCGACAGGCTTGAAGTCGATGAAACGGGCGATGAAGCTGGCGTTGTACTGCTTGTGGGCCCCGTATGCGGCCCCGAGCTTGAAAAAGTGGTTGACAAAGTCTGGCTTGCCATCGACGTCGACATAGTGAGGGAGCTGCTGCCCGTCGTTGTCACTATTGTCGTCGAAACAATCGACGTGGTGGATGAAATATCGTCGGTCGTGCTCCCACCCAGGGGAACACCGTCCGTAAAGCTCGACGTTGGTGTCTCTGAGATCAGCGAGAATGATATCGACGTCGTCGCTCCTGGCGCGACGTAATACTGAGGCGTGACCGAAGTCGCAACATATGATGTGCTGCTGCTGCTGCTTGATGTTTGTTGTCGAGGATCGTCAGTCACCAGTGGATAGGCGTAGTACATGAGCCTGGCGCTGTTAAAGTTGGGATCAGCCGGAGTGCTTCCAACGTTTCGCTTCCAGTAGCATGCTTTGTTGCTGACTTGGTATGTAACGCCGCCGCAAATGTTGCTACTGTTATAAGTATTCCAATAGCTACATCCAGCCACGCAGTCTTCAAACGAGGTGACTTGATAGCTGGGATATGGTCGACCAATATCGGATCCGCCGATATTGACTCCGCATTCAATTTCGTACTTGAAATTGCCGGATTGGACGACGGTGAAGTTGTACGTGGGGCACAGGCTTGTTGTCGGTACCGGAGTCGGGGACGGAATCGTTGACGTGCTTGATTGAGTGGGTTGATTACTCGCAACGTATGCAGTGCTTGTAGAGCTTGCATTGGCACTGGGATCGACCAGCTGATATACGCGAATCGAATTTATGCTCCAATAACTATTGATAGGTCAGTGTCAGGTTCGTATTCAACGGAGGCTCTGCAACACGTACGATTGCTGGAAAACCGCAGGCTGAGCCGCGACATATGCGTTGCAAGTGGAATATCCCGTGTACGTGGCGCAAGAGTTTGTCGTCGAGTTCCACACAGTGGTTGCTCCTGCATATTCTCCGCAAAATGCATTGTTCAAGATGATCTTGTGGGCCTGAAAATGCTGGTCGATGACACACGAGCCTTGCATATTTGCCATTGGCAGACCCCAAGAGGAAGGATTGGGAGCCTTGTTGACGATATCGCTTGGAATCGAGCCTTTAGGGAAAAACCATACACTGATGTAGTCGGAGGTCCATTGCATCGCGTAAACACCACCGCCAATTGCGTTGAAGCCTGCACCATAGCTGATTGATCGAGTGTCGCGTATCCCGCAGCCGACGTTGTAGCCAGGCTGTGGCACCGTCAGTAACTTCCACCAGTGGAAGGCCAAGCTACTTACATAGTAGGCGCAGTTGTTGTTGTTCAATTGACCTGTCATGGTTCTGCTGTCACCAGCAATCGTGCAGTTGGGGTTCCTAATCCATCCATTAACCATGTTCCCCTTCGCTGTCAAAAGGCATCAACACACGTATGTAATGTTGCAGCATTGTAGGTGACCAGGTTTGCTCCTTCCATGATGTCGATTTCCCCGTTGTAGGGCCAGTTTGGTCCCAAGGTCCAAACTGTAGTTGATTAGTGCACGATGTCTTTCCCACTATATGAGCACGTACATGCTGGCCAGCTTCCACAAACTCCTCCTGGGGCGTGATTGAAATCTCCGATAAACAATCCATGGGTCCATGATCTTTGCGTGGAAATTCGGACGCTGGGTCTGCCTGCTGCTTGGGTCGATCCGATCACGGTGTTGTAGTCGGAGCCAATGTAGATGGGAAAGCTGTCGCTGGCATTGATCATACCCGTGAGTTGGGCAGAGCCCTGGCTGTAATATCTGTTCTGTTGTTAGGCTTCGGCCCTTGTCTGTTCCTTTCGATTTCACCCACGTTACAAATCCTCCAGTAGGATCGCCACCCTATGCCGCGTCAGTATCTTCGGGGGCGTCGCCTGCGATCTGGCTGCTCACCGTATAAAAGTCCCAGCCTTGGAAGAAATTGGCGCCCGAATACTCCGAGTCCAACTGATAAACTGAGCTCGTAAGCGCGAAAGCATAATGAAAGTACACGAAACATGTAAGAACCGTGTGACAAGCGCCGTTGCAAATGGAAAAGGAATGGACAGCCATGATCGGCAATAGCAAGTAGACCGCTGCGCATCAATGAACGCGCCAAAATAGAGAGGCATGGGCATAATGAAGGCGTTTTAGAACAAATTCCAGCGCGAGCCTTGCGAGGAATGTGCACGGGCACCTGGCACAACACTGTGGGGGATTTAAAGGGGTAGCCATCTTCTTATTGATAGAATATTTTGTACCGCTCATATCCCTTCGAGCGAGACTCCTGCTCGCACGGGCGATGTGTCTCGCACCCGCTTTTTGCAGGTTTGCGAGAACAAGACCCCGAAGGAAAATCTATACGCAGCTCAAACTCGAGTTCATATCGACCCCACATGGCGCTTCGAGAGCGATCCCATCGTGCTGGCATTGACGCATTGATGGTGCTCGCAAGGCTGGGGAAATCCGGTAACTTGTCATAATCGGGCAAGCATGGAGTGCTGCATATCCTCCATCTAGAAAGAGCTAAATGCGACTACCTTCTGGTGGATCGTTGGTTCCCAGAAGGCCGCTCTCTGTATACGGCCTGCATAAAGCGACATTTTTTGCGGCTGAGCAGACTACCATAAGCCTCGCTCGGGCACGCTGGCAGTGATCCAAGAGATGTTGTCTGTCTGTTGAAACTGCGGGCACGGGAACCCGGACGCCGGGGCGCGTTGGCGTCAAAATGCGATCCCACATAGGCATTTCGTGTCTCAGCTCCTCTGTGATCAGAAGTTGCTTGACGGTACGCGACCTCGACGTTTCGTCGCACAATGATTTTGGTCTTGCCCACTTACTCCTTCTCCCTGTAAGGCTGGATCTCTTCACTGAGGGTACGTTGCGAAGATCGAGAACTGTGGTCGTTTCCGCGGTTTTCATTGTGAGCGTGCACCTCAACTTCCTTCTCTGCTTGGCCAGCTTCTTTCGCGTTCTGCTCGCTTGATGGTTTCGGCGGTTCCTGGATCTGGATAGCCTCCGTGTCATTCGCGTTGTTTTCAGGTTTGCTTGGCATTTCTTTACGCATGTTATATCCTCCTCGCCAGCCTATCCATCCACGTTCATGTGGGCCGCGCAGGAAGCAAACAAGCAACGCCGCGGAAATAAAGCCGACGCTTGCCGACCCAGAGGAGATCCAACCGCCATCCGCATAAAGCGAATTCCCAACAGCAGTGCCGATCAGTTGTCCCACGAAAACGCTGACCATGTAAGCCGTATTGACCCGGTTTCTCGCTTTAGGCGCGACCCCATAAATCGCAGTGCGGTTAGCGATCTGGCTGGTTTGCAGTCCAATATCGATCCCGATTGCCTGAATGACAGGACCAGCTACTGTAAATTTGCCGGTATATGTGCCGACCACCACGCCCATTAGACAAATCATTTCGCCAATGATGATTGAGAAGAGGGGTTGATGTTTCTCCATGACTGTTCTGGCGAAGATGGGACCCCAGGTCATGCTGCCAATTCCGATCAAAGCGAAGAGACCGATGACTAAGGAACTGTAGTGGTATGGTTGACCGGCAAGGAGGAAGGTAAGGGTTGTCCAGAAACTGGTGAAAGTCGTCGCCGTGCACATTCCAACTAGACATGCTTGGACCAATACAGGATACTTGACCACGAGTCTCACAATATCCCACAATAGCGCCGGGTACTTCTTCCAGATATTCTCGCCAGGATTTGTCGGAGGATAATCCGGCATGAACAGGTACAGCAATCCCAGGATGAAGTATTGTAACCCAAATGATATCCAGTAGATGTAGCGCCACCCAATAAATTTAGCGACAACGCCAGATAACAGCCGGGCGATCAGCATACCCAATAGCATGCCCGATACGACAATTGAGAGGGATGTCGACCGCCGATGAGGTGGAGCCATATCACCAACGAGTGGCAGCATCAATTGAGGCGTTACAGTCGTCACACTTGTGATGAAGGTGATGACACCAAAAGCAGCAAAGGACTTGGTCACACAGAGGCCAATCCTGCAATGAACGTCAGTCCAATCCGCATCGCTTACAAAGTCTCTCTCGACGCACCATAATGTTGCAGTGAACCAAACCAGCCAAAGCACAAAGGGCCTCCTCTTGAGCAGATCTCCCAATGGACACAGGAACAGCAATCCGCCAGCATACCCAGCCTGCGCTAGAGTCGGAATATAGGAAGATTGCTCGTCGGTAACGTGGAAGTCGTCTGCGAGGAGATTGAGGATCGGATGGGTGTAATAGAGGTTTGCCACGGTGAAGCAACCAGCGAATGCTTGGAGGCACAGATTGTCAATTCAAGCTGTCTTGTCCCAAGGCCAGAGTTCGTCCCTACCAAAGAGCACATTCAACGCCATTGAGAACTTAAACGGCTTCTCAGGGTCATAACGACACCTCGGTGGCACATATGTGAGGCAGTCGTACACCATCTGGAGGATCGTCCTTTTGGATCTCGGGTCGCCATCTGGGGCGATGGTCTCCGTTGGTGCCTCGAGGCTCAGGGCTTCCTTAGTCCCCGAAGGACGCACTTCTGGCTGCGACATGATGGAGCAGCCGCAACGTCAAAGCTGCAAACAGCATCGAACAACGAAAGGAGAAGAGCCATGGTTCCTCCACGTCCCTGATACTGGCTAATAACAGGGAAGAATTGGAGATAGTTCTGGTGCGAAGGCTAATGTCCGATGTACGCAAATGACGCGAAGATGAATCGGATATAGAAGAAACGGCAGGGATTAAGGTGGAGAGGCCCGAGGGACATCTCTCTCCAATTGTCCTCGCAGGAAAGAATCCCGTCGGCTAAACGATTTGCGGAATCTGGCCGGACAAGGGGTTCTGCTCGGCATCTACGCCGACGCATAGACGTACTTTACCTTGACTAGGAAGCAACAGCACATCATTGATAGATACTCCGTAAGGTAGATAGATATATGAGTTTTTAATTGGAGCCAGAGGGCCAATGCTGCTGAGGGAATGCACGAACTTTGGGGCTTGGCAAGATAGCAAGCATCGGCGTGTCGACGTTTCGCTTCGCTCGAAACGAGAAACCATTCAAACCAACGAACAGGCAAGCAGCAAAAAACAGCAAATTGTGGGCGTCCCTCGACCAGTCAGTCTCTTTTCCGCTATGAGCAAAACAAGGTCATCAAGCAGAAATTTTGGAAGCAACAAACCAAGCAGAGAAGACATGGCAAGAAGGGTAAGGAGCAGGGGGTATCCAAGGGCACTAAGCCTCCATTTTGCCGCACGGTCGAAAAGCCCAAAACAGATGTCCGCCCGTTTCATCGTCAGTGTCATTAGTCATGAGGATCGTTAGGTCATCAAGCAGGAAGTCGTACGTTCTTGACCGGCTTCGGTCTGCGAATGTCCTCGCGCAAATCTTTGAGCGTCTTCACAAAGTCTTCGGCATCTGTGTGAAGCCAGTGAGCCACTAAGTAGAGTTGAACGTGGTTTTGCGACGACCTACCTGTGAAGACTTCGAAATCGAGAAGATGCTCGCCATTTGCGCGGACATGGGGCGAATACTCGGAAGAAAAGACATGTCGTTGAAGTTCAGCAAGGTATACCGCGGAGCTATTCTTAGACCAACGAAACCAGGTAGGCGAGGTGATTTTATGGGTGATAAACGCCGTCCAGATGGGCGTGCTGCTGTAGGACTCAGCTATTGAAAATCTCGGTGCGACAGTATTCACTTACTCCTTCATTTCTTTGTCGAGGACAGATGCTTCGAGTCGCACGGCGTCGGTACTCTTGTCACGGTACAATCGAAGCACATGACGGTAACCACCGTCCCGAATCGCCCTGATTAAATCAGCCTTTGGAGTCATTGTCAACAGCGCATCTGAGCAGCTCACCCAGCAAAATTGAGGACTTCGCCATCCAGGTCATGGTCGATGTTGCGAAAGCGCGACGTGCTGTCGTGAGAACGCAGTGATAGGAAGGTACAATGGAAGATGACAAGCCCTGAGATGATCAGTGACGTTTCTCGCCAGAAGGCTTCGAGAACTGACATTCGTATGAAGTGAAGTTGAGGCTGGTCCAACAGGTGCTAGCACCACGAACTGTAGGACAGCAAAGGTACAGCGATGAGCCAGACCGGCGTATGTGCAATTCGCTGAGCGGGAAGCAAGACAATCGAGGGTTCTTTCGATTGTCGTACCATTCGCAGACAATTTTGGTGCGGTAGTCGCGAGCACGCCAAAAGAATTTCGTCCTCAGTCCGCCGGGGAATTTTCTGGTCAGAGTCAATCTTCATTCTTCCCCCTCCCCCAAAAGGCAACTCTTACAATTGGAGGATCCTTTCATACTCCGGATCCGGTCGCCTGCGGTACCTAGCATCCACATCGCCGAAACAGCAAGACCTGATTCGGAGAGGTAAGTCAGTGTCTGAATGGGCGAGAATGGCGCTCTCCTTACGGATTCGGGTCAACGTCAAGAGGAGTACTCGGTAAATTGTTGAAGATCTTGGTCGCCCAGTGATTGGTTTCTGGGTCAACGCTTGATGTATGACTTAGTGTGGAAAACGTGGTCACGGGTGAGCCAGGACCAGGGGAAACTGGGGAAAGGGGTGGCGGACTGGGAGCCGCTTGGTGCTGGAATGTTTCGTAACTGTCATGGGAGGTTGCTGGCGACATTGGTCGCTGGGGCTCTGGTCTTAGAGGCTCCGGTCTTAGAGGCTCTGGTCTCACCGGCTCTGGTCTTACTCGTTCATGGGACGGGAGGGGTCTGATGACTGCTGCTCGTCAGTACCATGCGAATTAACGCCGACGAGAGGAGCGGGTGACCTTGCTGGACTGGTACCAATGAAAGACTCGTAAAGGTCTCGGAAGCTGGGATTAATCGTCTGTCTTCGCGTTGTAGGGTCTGTAGGTCATAAATCTCGAGGCGCAAATCCTCAAGGCGTCGCCGACTGAAGGACTCCCTGACCAAAAAAATCCCTTAAGCGACAGCCACATCAGCGCTCCATAAATGCTACCGTACCTTGAGAGGATTTTGCAGAGTGAATAGGTGAACAGTTTGTACGTCTCTAATCGGGTGTGGAGGGTCTGCTTTCCCATGTTCATGCAATATCGGGCGACTTCTTTCCAAGAATCTTGATAGTCTGTCGGGACCGGAGAGCGCGGTAACTTGCCAAGGATGGTCCATACATCTTGAAGGGTAAAGGCGACACTATGCTGAAGGAGTTTCAAGTCGCCTCCGAAAGTAGGGGTGACCTTCCCGTTGACGGCGTCGATCTGATTGTTGAGCTCCCGCAGTGCCCAGCTCAAGCCGTTCAGCCCCGTGATCGCCAAGGTGATGTCCTGCTCGTGGTCCTGATCATTGCTCCGAATTGTGCTGAGAATTTCCGCAATGTCCTGGGCTCTCCCAGCCTCCTCTCGTAGGAGTAGATCCATGCATGATAGACCGAGGATGCGCGCCTGGGGATCAGACTGAAAGACGAAGTGGAATCCAGATCACCTCGAGATGCAGTGGAGAGGCTCTTTTGAGCTTTTTGTGCTGAAATTGAGATGCGGGTTCAGGGAGAAGAGCGGGCTGGTACTGGGGGATCTCGTAATACGCGCGGAGGCAAACCCTCATGCAAGTCGTTTGACGTGTCAAGCGGACAGCAGGCGAAGCCGATGGATGAAGGGGACCGATGCATACCTAGACACGACGCCGATTTGTCACAATCCAGCTTGCGCATGGACTGTCGCAACACAAGCTCTTAGGCTGTCCACCGTGGTCACTGTCAGGGTTTGTACCAGCTTTAAATGACCTTGGCCCCCGGAGAGGTAAATTCATCATATTTCTCAACCTGTGGAGGGGAGACGGGGAACAATTTGGCGCAGTCTGGCAGTGTCTGTTTCTAAAGAAAGGTGGACAGATCGGATGCATGATGCTGCAGGCATTGTTTTTGCTGCCTAAGCTGGGGCATCCAAACACTGTCGCGGAGCCTTTTTCCTGGAGCAACACTCGCGGCGGCGAAGCGAGGCCTTCTCATGCGGGTCGACGTGGTTCTACTTGGTTGTTGAAAACAGCTGCATCCTACCTGAAGTTCGTGAGTAGCTCGCGTCTTGTGTCAGCACGAGTTCCGATTTCTTGCTGGAAATCACCCGGGTCGACAAATTGCAAGTCTGGCCATGGGGACGCCTTGACAGTTGTATGGTGGACGTCGAGAGAGTGATCCTGTCTGAGCATTGATTGGAAGATGACGCGCTAGGAGTCCGCATCCGGGCTCCTTGAACGTTGTCTAGATTGGGATGTATACAGAGAAGATGATGAGAAATGAAACAGTCATTTGGCCTTTTATGAGGTCGGAAGGAGTGACATGCGCCTCACTGGTGCCTATGGCCAAGCCCACAGAGACCGGTAGAGAAGGGGGCTGAAATGCGAGGCGCGTATACAGAGACAGCCCCCAGTCTCAGAAGGATCGTCAAAGCTCGGTGCTCGCTGACATGCCAGAAAATTGCGACCTGATGGAGCCTCGAAGTTGGTCAAGTCTTTTAAGAGAAGGCTGGATACCGTCTGTCAAGGCTCGGATGTCTCCCCATGGAGCATAATTCAACCTTTCATAGACACAATACGGAAAGCAAGTCATCAATGGGATCTTTTGTGCCAGACATTGCATTGCATAAAAAAGCTAGTATACAGCAAGGATCAGAGTATGCTTGTGCAATGTTTGCAGCTCGGCTTTCTGGTTCATAATCGTTGTGATGATGATGGCGATGGATGAGCTTCACCTCACAACGACAACATGACCTGATCTCTGAAGCTCAATGATTCCAGCTGTAGGCTGCATTTCTGAAGCATACCGATCCTGTCCATAACTGACTCCCATAACCCCTGCCTCCCAGCCGATCATTGCTAGTGAAAACATGATGACAGAAAAAGAGAAATTCGACTGGACTTTGACGTTGTCGCATAGGAACCGTGGTCAAGCCTGATGGCACGAGACCGGTTAGTCCTCATCGTCGTCGTCTTCGCCAGCCTGATGGGATGTTAGAGCATGGTCCTGTCCGATGGACTGGGGAGTAACCACTCACGTTGTATTTCGCCTTTTCGTCTTCATATCGCTTCTTGTCGGCAGCGGCCTTCTTCTCATACGGTTCGCGCTGTTTGTCGCTCAAGGCTTTCCACTTGTCACCGAGCACCTTGCCGACCTGGCCTGTGGGACGTGTCAGCACATCTGGTCACGGGCCAGAGGGGAGTGAAGTAGGCGTACCAAAACTAATGCCAGGGTTCTCCTCGCGAACGGTCTCGCGCTGCTCATTGGCGAAGAACATGTAAGCAGAGAGACCACGCTTGGGAGCATTTGGGTCTTCCGCCAAAGTCAGCTGGGCTCAGGCTTTCAAAAGGAGTGTAAAAAACGGACCCTTCTTCTTCTTTTCGGCACCACGGCCCTTAGCCTTGGTGGCTTTTCCGCTGGCCTTTGGCATCTTGGTAGTGGAAGACTTGGTGACCTTGGAGGAGGAAGATTTCGGTTTCGAGGTAGTGGTTGCGGTCTTATTGGTTGACTGCGCGATGCGTTGTTTAGCCATGGTACACAGCACAGACTGAAGACCCTAGTGAGGGAGGGGGTGAAGGGACTGGTGTGATTTATAAGCTGGGGGAGAAAGCAGCCAGAAGCGCACAGAGACGGTAGGGTAGACAGCCCAAAAAAACAGTGCAAGTGATGGAGAAACAAAGGTGGGTGGTGCAAGTGAAAGAAGGGACGCAGCGCGCAGGCCGACTGGGATTGTTTTGGGTGAGTGCATTGGCGCGCCAAACGCGTGTTTTGGCAGTGACCATGGGTAACTGAAGGGCAATTGGACTCACCGACGCAGTGAAAACGCGTCAATGGAGTGGGTAGCGGGCTGTGAGGAGTTGGTGGTGGGTGGTTAGCGGTTGTTGAGTGTAGGGTGCTGGAGAAGGCGACGACGAGGTCGCAAAAGGGAGCAAACAGAGTAGCAAGAGGGTGAGAAGAGCATTTTGAATCGCAGTTTTTGGCGCCAGCGATGGGACAAGAGAGATGGTGGTGTGGAGGGAGAAGGCGAAAATAGTCAAGAGGTGAAAGTGAGTACTTACAGTGAGAGGGTGATTTGGTGGTGGCAGTAACAGTAACGCAGTGCAGCGCGCTCACAGTATGTGCACACACAGTATGGGAGGGAGGAACAGTACTGTGAGGGAGAGTGGTGGTAGTAGGAGGAAAAATGTATGGGAGCTGAGGTGGGTGGGTGGGTGGGAGAGGCTGAGCAGGGCAGAGGGAGAGAATTGATCAGGGACTGGGACTGACTCTGACTCGGGGGAGTCTTGCCCCCTGCCCTGCCCGCCTCTCGCCGTTCTCACTGCTCTGCCGTCTGCCGTGCCTGTCTGTTGATCTGATCCTGGCTGGCTTGCCTGCTGCTGCACCACCACCACCACCACTTACGCACTACGCACGCACCACTGCGCACCACCACTCACCACTTTACTCCTCTTCCTGCTGCTGCCACTCACAGCGCTCCAAACTCGTTCGCAGCTGAATCAAATCAACCTGTGATCTCGTCACTCTGCGCCTTTTGCTCTCACTTTTCCCCTTCCCCTCTCTCTTCCCCTCCCGCCTGTTTCCAGTTTCCAGTTTCTCAGCTCCCTCCCTTCTCTCCCTCCACTTACTGCTCTTCGTTCACTCTCTCGTTTCTCCTCTTTGTCGCTCTCCCTTTTCTCAGGCCCGCAAAAAACCTGCCCACTCTCATCAATCAGTCCATTCCTCCCACAATCATCACAAAGGGAACCCACTTTTCGCCCGCTCGTTGCAACCACTTAACCCATCCTCACTGCGCTATCCTTTGCCCGCTCCGGGCCTGCTCCAAGCCTTTCACGCCACTGTTGATTGTCCTTCCGCTGCTGACACCATGGGCCTCTCCAGAACGAGGAAGTAAATCATAACAAATCCACTTGCGGGCAACAACTCTTGCCGCTTCAAAGCATCTGCGGTTTTTCTCCTCCCCTCAGCTGCTACTAAAATGCTTGGGAGCTTGGGAGCTCCCTTTATTGCATTCCTCAGCAGATAGCTTCAGTTCCGTCCCGTATCCACCACGGCTAGGCTGTGAATGCATTCCCGGGCCCTCTTCTTCCTTGCCCATTATTTGCTGTTGTTTATCTGAAGGCTTCCTGGTCCTGTCCGTGTTCCAATGCGGCAACATAAGTAGAGAGTTGAACACCCCTTCCAAGGACCCAGTCATCTTGCACAACTATCAGGTACTTTGTATCTTGTCACATTTCGAAACTAAGGCTGCCCTGGGATGATTTTTTAGGCCCCCCAGAACAGAGTACAACTATCTAGCTCTCTGGGTAGATTCCTATGAGTACATAATGTAGGGAAGTACCTTGGAAAGCGAGCTGGATCACGAAAATAAACATGGACAAAGGCAGACCCGGTACATACCGACTAGGAGTCCTTGGATGATTCTTCTTCCCACGGTTAATTCTTGTCGCCAAAAAAGATACTGGGTGCTGCTCTCTATACCACCCGCCTGTATGTAAATGAGATTTCTCCATCCCTAAAACAGACGCGTACTACAACTCTGATCTCTCGCAGGCGCAGGCGTTGGTGACATGGCGAGCGAGCGTGTGCGTGCGTGCTTGTGTGCAGGCATGTATCACGTGTAGCAGCCTGGCCGTCAGATCCGCGGTGCCTAGGTTCCTCGTACGCGCATCCGCGTGGGATGCCTGGCTTGTTGGATATGTGGTCACGTGGTGTGGCAGGTCCGCAAAGAGTACCTGTTCGCCTGGTACAATTAGGGGTAGAATAAATACCCGCCATGCCCGCCGAGCCGCACTCTCCAGCCCCTGATAATGTCACGTGGGAAGCATATATCCTCCCTCGCTCCCCCATTGCTCGGTTCTTCACCTAGGCTCAGCGAGAGGGAAATATTTATCGAGAGGCGGCCTTTCAGCCGATGGATGCTTTATCTTGGGAGTCCAGGTTTCGTGCACGTACATACAACATCGGCGCGGTTCAAGATTGATGGTCATGCCACGGGGCCCTTTTTCACTGTCAGCATTGCAATTAGAATTGCTCTCGACCTGACAAGGGAGGCGTGAGCAACGGTTATGGCAACGGCGTGGTAGCTTTACTTGTTTTTATTTTGCTCATCGCTGGGGAGGTTACCGAACGTGAATGCAACACCCGGCGTGACATCTTCTTCGGGCAAAAGACAGGCCTGTCGAAGAAGAAAGGGACGAGGGGAGAGGTTGGAATAAAGAAGTGATCCATGTGAAGGCATAAATTCAAGCCACAACCCCTCCAATAGTTCGATCATGAACCCTCTCAAGCCCCCTCATATGGCAACACCGTTGGTATTTAAAGAAAGACTGACTCCAAAGCCGGCGAGAGCCCCCGACGACCAAGAACGGCCATCTGAGAAATCCGCCTAGTCAATCTCTCTCATTAGAATAGTCCGGATCACTATAGTTGCTATACTCTTCCCTTTCGGCCTCCTACTCACACCGCCACTTCTCCGGACAATGCCACTGCGTAGTCCGCTCCCATTCTTCCAAATGTGAGAAGCACTCCTTACAAACCTCGTCGACACACGCACAGAAAATACCACAGTCACAACAATCACGGAGCAGGCCGCGTTCGACCAGGCCAATCCGGACCGAATGGCCTGCTCCTTCGAAATCTGGAGCACTTCATCCATGTTGAAGTTTGGCGAAACTCAGCTGTGACCGTCCCGCAAGCGCCTGTACGGAATCAGCTCCGAATAAACGGCTGCCCAAAGGTCGCGAAGCTGGTGGCTCCCGCTGAAATAGTTCGTGTTCCCGCAGCCGGGACAGTATCAGATGTCTTCAACTAGGTTTTTGTTAACCACAATATCGCTGTCGATCCCCACGGTGTCTCATTTGTGTCGACATCCATCCAATTCGCGGTGTAGCAGTCGTCGTCACCTTGGGGATCGGTGATAACAAGATAGAAATCAATACTCAGCGGAAGCCAGGCTCTCACCAACGACCGTAACACATGACTCAGAATGCCAGCATATGCCGAGAGCAGGAGTCCACCGCTGTCGATGCTCCGGCGGTAAACCCTGGACCAGCTTCAACGGCGTGAGGATCTCGTGAGTGCAGCCCACCATTTGATCTGTGCCATACAGCACCGCGCTGACAGCACTGAGTCCAACAGGGGCTCCGCTCCTTTCGAGACCAAGCAGACCAAGCACACAGTGATGCCGAAGAGGTCTTCCTCCTCGCAACCATTACCGATGTGTGGACTGGCAGCAGTGCGAGCCCCTGGTTGCAGTACTGGCACTTCTTCTTGAACAAACCGCTTTGGTGGTTGACATCAGGCTTCCATTCAGCGCCAAACATGAGACCGATAAAGTGGCAAATAACCTAGGCGGAAGTGTGACAGAACTTGTGCTTCTAGTCGAAGGGGATCCTCGACGATTTTCTGGCGAAGAGAGCCCTAATCTCGTCAGAATCGACATCCCACCTTCCACATATGTCAACTTCTTCACCGGCGAAAAGTTTTTGTCGCTTCATTCTCATCGACATTGCCAGGCACACAGTATGCCCTTTGACGATGGCGATCATGAGATTGTCCAGGACGGTACCCAGTATGGCTGAGGTCGTTGACGTACATTTCCCTTATTGGAAACGTACCCCGATGATAGAGTAGTCCAGCAAAGACATTGCAGCAAGGATACAACCCACAAAGAAAGGCCGTTGCAAGATGAAAGGGAAACCGGGCCCTGGATATTCACTCACGGCGTTTGGCCTTCCTCACAAGGGAATACATTAGGAGGACGTTACGGCCCATGATACTGAAAGCAACACTTTCCTCGACAAGTTGATCTCTGGAACTATGGAGTTCATCCAGAGTCTGGAAAGCGCAATAGGCAGGTCATTGGCGTCGACATTGCTGAAGAGATTACCTTCCAGCCCGCGGCGGAGCTCCTTGATGAAGCTGTCCCGCTTCCAGGACCTTGGCCAGTCATTCCGTTCTTCGAAGTCGTCGTCAGAGTCGTCAGAGAGTCGTCATTTGGCGCACGCTCGTACCTCATTTCAGGAACATGAACATCTCAATTGAAGACGATGCTTGGGGTTACGCCATCCACAAGCCACTGGCTTGCGGGAACATGATGTTGTTCGGCATCTGGGCTTGCCCCGGGACTGCCCGGCGCCCCGGCCGCGGAGACGGAGAGATTTTCCATATACTTGTTCAAGTCCAGAAGGCCCAGAGTCCAATCATGCAGGCCCTTTCTCCAGTGTCTAGCTGTCTTGTATGCAGAGAGCGAAAATTGATACAACTACGTGGACATCGTTCTGACGGCGGTCAGCAAAACGCAGCCGAGAAGCGAGTCACTCAACACTTATTCAGGATCGTCCATTGACACTAAAAGCTCGTTGTGCTTCCCTGTCACGAACATAGACGCCCTGTCCAGGGCCAATTTGTTCCTCAAAGCATTTGAGAGGCCGGACGAAAGGGGCCCGGCATCCCTGGTGTTCTTACGAATATGTCGCTCTTTCCGGCGGGCGTAAAGCCAATGGCAATGGGCGAGACATGGTCGATTGGGCTCCTCTGTGAGTACCTTAGGGCTCCATAAGGCATATTCCACATGATGAAACTAAGATCTTGTCAGTATGAGGTACAGGAAGCGATGACAGTGAGTCTTACATTCGGGGCGCGATCTTGGGCCTCACAGCCGCCTTATCATTTGACCTGCCCGGAAACTTGCTCACCAGACCTTTAGCCAGTCTGGCAAGCTTGTTACTGTCAACAGGTTTGCCCTTGTACTCAAAGGCTGTTTTCTTTCCTCTCGATGCTCTTGATTCCTTTGTCTCAAACATCTTGGTCTTGGCTGATGTCGGGATGCTCTTCTTCAAGTTCCATTGTCTGATATGATACTTGAGTTGATGAATCCTGTATCAAACAAACGTTGGCTTTTCCTCTTTGAGAAAATCCAATGCTAAAATGGTTGGCAGAGTCCTACCAGCATCAAAACCACAATGGTGGCGAATGATCTCCTAAACCCCCTTGACTTTGCGATTTTCCTTTACGTAGAGGCAGGCGATGGCGGGTTTCAGCCGGTCCCACTTCTCTGCTAGAGGCAGATCAGCCCGACAATCATACGGCGGAGCGATGACGATCTGGTCCATGACCGTGCTGGAGATCCAAGATTAGTTCAAAGTGAGCTCGTATAACCGCAAGGAGGTGGAGAGAAAAGGCGAAGGACAACAGGGTCGTGGCCTGAGGGCGGTTTATCGCCCATCTTTATTTGAGGTGTGTGAGGCTGTAGCCTTGCGAAGATGCCCGCTCCCTGCTCGAGTCCATGGTTGAGGGAAGCCTGGCATACAAGCCCAATCCAAAGCTCACTCGTACCGAGTAAAGCAGCCTATCGGGCAGCTAACATGGATGGGCTGAACGCATCCGGCCACACTGTGAGCAAACAAAATACTAAATCAGGGTTCTGGGTGCGGCTGCGTTTGCGACGCATTCTCGAACCCTCAGCGACAAAAGAGCAACGACCAATCGAACAACATCGCAACGGTCTCCCAGCCAGGGTCAGAAAGCCGGCGCCAGAGAGCCAGAGAGCCAGTGCCAGGAGACCTTGTTGACAGAAGATGACTATCCAATGTCGATACAGCGAATTGGCTCTCAAACTCTTGGTAAAAGGGGTCAAGGCTGACTGGGTTGATAACTCCGTGCCATACTCTCGATTTCCCGAACTTGCTGCCTTGTAGTTCCTGGGTCACTGGTGAACTGCAGGTGCTGTGCCATCTGATTTGATTTTTCCTCGGGTTGTATTGGCTCCACACTTTTGATCATATAGTCGAAGGGGATACTGAGGTGGCGAAACAGCTTGACTCGAGACTCATGCCAGGAAGGAAGCCTGCGGTCGCAAAATCGAGCCCTCTGAAACAACCAAGGATAAGTAGCAATCCCTGTGTAAGTGGGAGGATGATTGTCTTAGCCAATTAGTACGTATCAAACCATCGTCCTTCCGCTCATCTGGTACTCTGATTATCGAGATCTTGATATGGTGCCTCATCATGGAGAAAGACAACCCAAGATTGAACATCCATCAAATCGCTAGGGGGGTCCGATGAAGTTATTGAACAAGGTATTTTTTGCTAATGCCTGCCAGGCGCGGGTCAGGCGGGCCTTCTTGTGCTTCTTCCCGACGATCTACCAAAAAGGACGAAGCATGTCAGCAGGCAACGAGCTGTTCACTTATAGTCCTCCGCCAGAGCGTATCTCAAGTTCAGCCTCGCCCCGAAAGGAACAAGCATGACAAACCCGGTGCCAAAGAGGGCCTTGGAACAAGCCCGTCCGAGACAACGACGTCAGCGATCGTATATTCTGTTGGAAGCTCAACTTGCCCTTCGAACCTCGGATAAGTTTCGCAAGACCTCCACACTCTGTCTGCCAACGTGGCCCAATCCAAGGATGAAGTAATCAGGGGAATTCATGACTGGAGCGCTACAATGGAATGCAATGTGGAAGAGGTTTCCATGCGCATATTTTTGGAGAGCTTCTTAGCAGCCAAGTCTGCAAGAGCGAGGATCGCCGATGCTGAAGACCGAAAGATGCGGACCAGAGATGAACAGGCTACTCAGGTTCCATCCTATCTCAAGGCCGTCATGGATCTGGATTCTTCGTTCAAGCCATCATGTTCAGAAAAAGGCCATTCGCGTCTGGTGTTCAGGTAAATTGGTCTGGATGAAGCTGAGCAATGCCGACACTTGCCAACTGTCCTAGACCAGGAGACGTGGGTCTCGGTGCCACTTCGGGCTTGGAGTAGAGGTGATCAAGTTGGGCATAATGAGTTGGTAGGGCGAAGTTGAAGGATTGGGCCCTGAGCTTCGGATGTGAGTCGACCATCTGCTGCCCAGGGGTTTTGGGCGGGGGGTATGAGTGCGTTACAATTCAATATCTCAGCATCAGCAGGAGGGTCAATGCATGCGAGAACACAATTGAGATTTGCAAGCAAGCGTGGCACATGAGCAGTTGCGTCTTTGTATCTTCGACGAAGGGAAGGTACTCGGTACTTGTTGTTGACCGATCCTCCTTCGTGTTTCAGCCGGTGAGCTTCAATGATCCGCCCAAACGTCAACCGATAGTGGGTTTTGAGGCCCAGAGCAGCCTGGTGACTCGAGATATGGAGGGGCCACTGGGGAGTCTTCGGTCTCATACCCTGTATCGAGTACGAGGTATTCTATAGTTCCTAGTCCTATATACCACTCACCACGCATTCATACCATTAACAGAACAAAATCTCGACCGACAAGATATACAGCATAAGCAGCACGAATGGGGATGTGCGCGCCAAACACACCCTTGATTTGGAATGTCAATATTCATTTTACAATCTCTCGCTCAAGTAAGTAATTGTGCCAAAGGTCCTGAGACCCGAACCCAGTCTGCGTACTGCAGCCTCACAACTCCCTCGCTCAGGAATCAATCACAAATATATCTGCGGACGGATCCTATCACTACGACCTGAACTCCATGCTGAACAATTTGTCCCAAGGTCTCTCCTTCGGCTTCGCCAGCAGCGACGGAGTCGACACAGTTTCAGCTCCCCCTGCAACGGAGGGATTCTTCACTGGACTCGCCCCGGGCGTCGTGACGGTCTGATTCTTTGGTGTCAATGGTGATTGTGATGTGATTCTCGGGGTGGGCGCTGCATATCCCGGTCTTCTGTTCAGCCGTTGTGCCAATGGAGGTGATTCATTCGGCGCAGCTCTAAAGGCACCGATTCTTCCTATCGTGGCTGAGCGGGCAGGCTCAGACGTAGCGAGGTCACCACTCTATTTGTCTCATCAGCCGCTGCGCGTTTTCCTCTTGTTTACGGGCCGAGAAGAAGATCTCGCCTCACCACTTCAAAGACCTGCGCATCCTCCCTGTCCGTCTGGCTCGCCTCGGTGGGACGGCGCACGATGCTCGGAACGCTGGCAGTTCCAGCTTGGCCTCGACTTTGACTCGCCGCTTGTGCCGTCATCGAGCCCGCTGAATCTTGGGTTTCAGCCTCATCATTTTCATTGTCTGCATCTGCGTGGGCGTCGTCCTCCGGGATGGCGGCAGCTTTGCTGCTCGCATCATGTGGTGGTGCATGCCGTCGTGGCTCAACGTCTGTATCACTCGAAATAGGTGCCAAAGGTGAAAGTTTCGACGAAGGCATCGCGTCCTTAACGCTGCTGCTCCTGTCGAGAAGCTTGCCCTTGAGATCCACGCTCTTTTTGCTCCCCGAACTCGACCGCCGACTATCCAGACTTTTGGTAAGCGTCTTGGTCACCATGTTCGTCGTGGCACTGCTGCCACCAGCAGCACCCATGCCCATGCTTGACTTATGCTCCTTCCTACCCAACCCCATGTGCCCCTTAACCTCGACATTGCTTGCTATCACGGTTGACTTTCCGACCGAGGGCGTGCCAGGCGCGCCCAACTTCTCCTCTTGCGCATCAATCATGTACCACCTCAGCCCATCCGATAACTCGAACGGATTCTCGTCGTCAACACTCCTTGTTGACCCACCATCATCCACTACCGTACTTGCTGCAGCCACCGTCGAGGACGAAGTATTGCCACGCATGCTTCTACTAAGATCTACCACCCTCTCTTCTATCTTCGTGATTCGCGCGAGCAACCAATCCCTCGACTGCAACTTATGCGCATCCTGCTCTCTCAAAAAGTAATGTGGTGCACCGACGTTGAAGGCCGCCCAGGGTCTCGTAGCTTGATTCCTCGTCGGCAGAAACAAGGCCAGGTCCCCTTCCTTGAAGCTCCTATATGCGATTTTATCGTGCGCTTCGGCTTGAGAGCGGTGTGTTCGTTCTCTGTAAGCGCGGGAATCTTTTTGGTATTTCTTCGCGAGCGTTTCAACGTCCTTGTAGCGTTTCGTGATCAAGTCTATAGTGCTATCCATATCGAGTCGCGACAGAGCCGAGAGGAAGCCTGAGTATTTTGTCGATTCGGACGCGAGGTCGTTGTCGGACGTCCAATATAGGGTGTCGAGGTCTGACGGGTCAGAGTAGTGTTGTGCTGGCGTTGAACCGGATATGGTCCGCCTCATGGAAGTGCCCGGTCCCGACCCCTCGTTCCCACTGAGCACGGCGCTTGCATTAACTTTACTAGCACGCTGGATTACCAGTGTGTCTTCTTGCCGCGAGACGTAGTAGCCAAACTGCTCGAGCATGCGGATGATTCGATCGTGATGATGGAACAATCTCTCGGAAAGCTGTTTTGCCCTCTCGCCTCTCTTGTCAAAGTGTTTGCGCAATTTCTCCTGTTTCTCTGACGCGTTGACCGCCTCTCGATTTAGAACCTCAATTTCATGCTTCAGGCGCTGAATGACACCCTCATCTTCAGCTTTGCGGTCCATTAACTCAGCAACTTTAATCTCCTCGGACTTCAGCTGTTGACGGAGCGCATCAGAGCCAGTCTCACCAGCGGCAAACTTCTCACGCAGGGAATGCATCTCTGCGCGCTCGCCCGCAAGTTCAGTCCTGAGCGCGGAGATCTTGCTACGTTCCTGTTCAATGTCTTCCCTCAATTCATTTGCGCATGTCTCCACCGTAGAGAGTTTATCTGTAAGGGTCTCGATCTGACTTTCCGCGTTTGACAATTTCTCCTCAAGCGACTTATTCTCCGCAGTAGCGAGTTGGAGAGAATCATCGAGACCCCGAGCATGGATGGCGGCACCTTCAGAGAGAATTTCCAATGCGTTGACGAGGCGGCGAAGATCATCTGGTGGAGACCCCGCGGGGGATAAGTTAGAGTGGGCCCCTTGCAGGATCGAAATGTATTCCTGCTGTTGATCTTCCATTGAGCGCAGTTGGTTTGCTAGAGCCATATTTTGAGATTGTACGGCTGCCCGTTCTTCCTTGAGCTGGTGCAGCTGACGATCGAGTGTCGCTGCTCGCTCGCGGTGTGCGGCCGCCTCCTTTCGTGCTGACTCAACTTTGCGGTCTGACAGCGCGAGATCATCGGCCGACGCCTTCTTCAGTTGTTCCAACTCGTTCCGTAAGTTGAGCGTTGTTTGATCTTGTTCGGAGCGGAGATGATCCCTCGAGTCATTGAGACGATCAAGCTCTTCTTCCGCTTCTTCCAATTTGACTTTCAGACGATGTACTTCGTCGTCCAGCAATTGTCGCTCCTCCTCGAATTCTTGCTTCTGAGCTTCAAAGTTTGCCATCAGATCTCGTTTGACCAATTCCGCTTCTTGCATTTTGTCCCTGCTCTCAGTACTTGAACGCCGTTCCGCATGAGCCTCCTCTTGCAACTTTTGGATCTGATGTTCTAATGCAACAATTTTCTGCACCAAGGACTTTTCATCCTGGTTGTTGGATAGTCTTCGAAGCGAGACTGACGACCTGCGAGACAAGTCGCTGTGTCTTTGAAGCGCACTGGGCGAAGGCGTTTGTTGTCGTTCAAAGTCTGCAGCGCTGCCAGGCTGGAAGATCCCGCTGGCAGGCCGGCTGAGCTGGCTTTGACGGTGCAGGAGATCTTCCAGCTTTCGCACTCGACTGTCCGAGGCGCGAAGTTTCTCCTCGAGTCTTGCTTTCTCGTCCTGTAAACCTCTGACTTCATCCCCATTACGGAGAGCAGCACTCTGAGTGAGATCGTGGATACTCCCGTTCTTAAAAGGTTTCGCCTTCTGCTTCCGGACCGGGGCATCCAAATCTTTCATTCGCTGCATGACAGACTGTACTGCTTCATTGATGCCGAGAGCCCTCAGGTCGTCAACCCAGGCAAAGATTTCGTCTCTGCTTACGAACGGCCAGGAATTTCGTGGTGCTGTAGCTTTCAGATCGATGAGTGCATCTTTGGCATTCATATCCTCGTTCAAGAATTCGCTGTGGGAAGCGGTCCATTTTTTTCGCCGTCGTTGCTCCTCTTCGGTCTGCTGGGAAAGGTCTTCGTGGAGGACGTCGACCTCAGCCCGCATCCGCTCAGTCCACTCAGATCTCCGTGTAGCTTCCACGAGTGTAGCGCCATAAACAAGGGGAAGCTGAAAGATTCGGTTGAGAGTCGCATAGTTGTCGTTGTCGTGGAAGTCTAAATTCGTGATGGCCGACTGTAATTCTGCGAGTCGAGACTGGATACTGGAAATAATTTGCAGGGTAGAATACCAGTCATTTGACGCAGTTTTCCGTGTTTCGGATGCACTCAAGGAAGCCTGAATAATTTCTTCCACGACACCGTGCATGGCGGGCAACAACTCACGCGTATGCACGGCAGCCTTTCTTGATGCTGCAACCACGGATTTCTGGTTGTCTTGCATCTGGACGACATCTTCATAATCTGAGCTTATCCGCTTCGCCAATGTCTCAGCCTCGTCCAACAGAGCATTGGTGTCAAAGTCTGGCACTCGCGTCGAGCGAGCCTGGGCCTGACTTGTATCCTGCTTTAGCTTCTCCATGCCAGACTGCAGTTCACGCAGTCTCTTCTCGAAGTCGGCCGAGCTCTGTTCAACACTCTCTGCAGCAGTCTGCAGACTATCTCGGTTAACCAGATCCAAAAGAGTGCCGACAGGTGCTGATACATCCTTGCCATCAGGCTCAGCCGGGCGCCGCAGCACCTTGACCACGTCCTCACGAACTGGGAGCTCAGCAAGGGTATCGACATTTGCTCGCCAATCCCTGAGGACCTCACGATGTTCTTGGATATAACCCTGAGCCCACTGATTTGTCTCCTCGAATCGCTGCTGTAGGCTTGTAACATGGTTACGCAGGTTGTCCAGGGCGACCTTCATGGATCTGGCAATGACGGATGCCTCGTCCGCACAAATTTCTATGTTCTCCACACCTGTTCTGGCAATTTCAAACGCCTCAAGCGCCCAGGTCCGCCTGGAATTGAACAGCTCGTGCCATGCTTTGAGGCTGGTCTCGTCGGTGAGATAGGAAGGGGGGTCGGAGAGAGGTTTGAGTTGAACATCGTCCCGAGAGGGAGGCTCGGAGTCCGGCGACAGGAACTGTTTGTCGTAGACATAGACTTCTTGTTCGTTATTGAGATTCTTGACAATCTTGCCGCGGGCGGTCATCAAGATCTGGCGAGAGGCTGGAATGGCACCATTGGCTTCGATCCATGACCGCAGATTGTCGACACGGGCGACTGGGTCGTTGAAGGTCAGGACGCCGCCGGTGTGAGAAATGTAAATTTGTAGCGCCATGGTCTCCCCCTTCACCACCTCCTCTTCAACTTCTCGAATTCCAGGCAGATCTAGCAGAGTGGGAAGGAGTCGGAGAGAGCATTAGGCGGAACCGTAATGCAGACCGCGTCTGAGCGGCAGCATGTCGTGTGAATGGATGGAATTCTTAGTCAGCAGCCTCTTCGGTTATCGGAAGCTTTGTCCTGATTCGGTTACTGTGGCCATGGAGAGGAGTACTCCGTATGTTATGTCGTTGGGCGTCGCAATGGTCGGCTTGGTGGGTATAAACTAGAGCTAATCTCTACGACTTTCATGGGCAAAGAGGATGAGACGCAGATAAGAGACTCGTACGGTATATAAATGCCTGACCCCGACAAGTGAGCCTCCCTCACCTTTGATCCCGGGTCACAAGACATCAGAGGTCATCTGAAGTCACTACTACGGCGTCATCTCAACAACAACAAAAAAATATTAATAATAAGAAAGGGGGACAGATATCCTGGCCCACAATGAGCAGCTTCCAAAATATCGAGAAGCCGTCCTTGGTATGGCACTGGAGGTCCTGGGACGATATCAAAGCAGCCTCAATGTTCACGCTGGGCAATTATGCCAACATTATCCTTCTGGCCATCTTCCTCATCTTGGCCATCAACCAAGTGAGACTCAAGAATGTGAGTTGCAAGAACCTTGCCACCGGCTTCACAGCAATCCACTGTAGCTCAATCACCCCTGGTCGTCGCGGACAGCGTCGTTGACTTCTCCTCAGCAAGCTGCCAAGAAGGTTGGTTTCGAGAACCGCTATCTCAAAGCGCCTGAGTTCCCTCCTATAGAGGAGCAACCAGACTTTGACTGGGAAGCAACAGAACCTCTCCGCTTCCGGCCCTTCAAGCCCAAATACCACTTGACTATGGGTGAGTTCGCGTTGCATCCTGCCGTTGGCGTTCCTCTATTTTCTCAAGCGAAATCTCTTCTCTTGTTCCTACAAGAAGAGGCTGACTCTACACGAGCCGAATCTGACAAGTCAGCACTTGAAAACCTCGATCCTTCGGAGTTACTAGTGATGGACAGGAACTACGCCGACCGCATCGCCTACCGCCGGAAAGTCATGGCCGAGCATGGCGAACACGTCGTTGCCGTGAATGACGATTATCGCATCCGCCCCGCCGTCGTGGAACTCTACCAGTTCCTTCTCGGCACTTACCTGCCGCTCCGCTTTCCTAAGATGTTTAAATTACACGAAACCGATTATGAGGAGGGCAAGACGTTTATGCTGGAGAATCTGGTGACCAAGGCACTGTTTCCCGCGAGACCCTCGCCTCGGACGTCGACCAAAATGCTGTTAGAGACACTTGGCCGGACACTCGACGAAGACTTCCTCTTCCTCCTTCCCGAGGAAGGAGACAAAAACACCGATAAGAAAGAAACCAATAGCGAGAGCTCAGAAGGTGATGCAAAGTACATCCTCGAGGCCTATGTCTGCTGCTGCCCCAGCGGATTCGACCCGCGCGAGAAACTCGGCAACAGGCTCGCCAAAATTCACGGCCCGGTGCCCGGCTACCCTCAAAAACTGGAGGCATCGATGGACCGATTCTTCTCCCGGCTCGAGGTCGGCAAGTATGTGCGCCGCGTAAACTGGGCCGTCACCACGAACACCGAAGTCTATGCCGCGGGGCCCGGCACCAACCACGCCCACGAAGGGGACGAGGTCGAAGAACTGGAGGACGTCGACGTGGACAAGACGTTCCTGAGGTGCGAAAGGCAGACGCTCCACAGACTGCCGAAAAGTAAGGCGCTGGTGTTTGCCTTCAGGACATATTTGTACCCGATTGCCCAGATAAAGGAGGAGGGGAAGGGAGAAGAACTCGCACAGGCTATTGATGGCTTAAAGGAGGGCAGTGTGCCCGCAATGCACTTTTACAAGAGGGGCGTGGTATGGGGAGAGGCCGTCAAGAGGTACCTCAGAAGCTGAGGGCACAACTCAAGGATGAAACGGAGGGTACAGTATCTAGGTAAATGCGGTGACTCGTCTTATGACGTTCATGTCAATATGTGATTATCTATCGTCCGATTTTCTGTTTGAATGAATGAATAAACGAGCTTAGATCTGAGCCCCACGTCTGAAAGAACCTGCCGTTCCTCCTCCTCTTCTAATTCCTGTCCTTCTCCAAAGCTTTGCAACAAGGCAAAGAGAACAATGATGAAAGAGAGTACGCAAAAGAAAAGAAGAAAACTTCTTTCGAATGTTGCGGTTCCAAAAACTGATGCAAGAGACCCAGCTCTTGACTTGTTGGATAACAGCAATTGATAACAATACCGGTTAAGAATAGGGATAAGGATATGCAGAAGGAAAGATGCAGGAAAGCATGGAAGGAAGGGGGAGGGGGGTTATATAGACCTTTCAAGTGCGCAAGACGTGGGTGGGAGTCATGGATGTCCCATTGAGGTAGAGTTGTACTGTGGTCCGATTACCTTCAGCATAGGCATGGGACGAAGGGACCAGGCTCTAGTGTGGAAGGAAAGGTGGATATATAAATTTGGAGGAGAGAAACCTTTTTTTGGGATCTCCCTCGTGTCTCTCCCGGTTTGGGCTGGTCACTCTTGTGTCTATGTTATCCCAATCGCTCAACCACCTTGATCAGATCTGCCGTGACACCCATGGCGGTGACCTCGCCACCTGCTCCGGCCCCTTGGATGACCAACGGATTCGCGCCATACCGTTTGGTATAGAAGCAAATCAAGTTGTCACTGCCCCTCAGGCCTGCTATTGGTGTTCCCTTCTCCACCATTTCCAATCCCACCTTCACTTCTCCCTTGCCCATATCCACCGAGCCGACGTATCGCACAACCTTGTTTTGAGCGGCAGCTTGGGACTTGTATGATTCCATCTGCTCGTCAAATTCAGGTAAACGCGCCATGAACTCGTCGCTTGATTCCGCAGACTCTAGTTCCTTCGGGATGAGACTCTGGACGGGGAAAGAGTCCGGTCCTTGGACTTTCAACCCTGCTAAACGCGCGAGTATGGTGAGCTTCCTTGCCACGTCCATCCCGTTCAGATCGTCCCTGGGGTCTGGTTCCGTGTAACCTGCCTCTTTGGCTTGTTTTACAATCTCCGACCATTTCCCCTTCCCAGACCCGTCGGCAGGAGCAAAAGAGTTGAACAGGAACGACATGGTTCCTGAAAATACACCTTCAATGCGTGTGACTTGGTCGCCCGTCGCAACCAGGTCTTTCAACGTAGATATCACGGGAAGGCCTGCACCCACGCTGGATTCATGGTAGACCATTGATTGTCCATTCGCCTGGTCCACTGCCGAGAAGATATCGTTCCAGAGCTGTAAGCTGCTGGAGAAGGCCTTCTTGTTCGGTGTCACTACACTTATTCCTTTGCGCAGGAAGGAGGGATAAGCGTTCGCGACATCTTGAGACGAAGTGTTGTCGACGAGGACGACTTTCCCCGGGGCGGACGAGAGATATTTGACAAGTTCATCGGGAATGGAGAGGATTTGCGATGGCGATGATTGCAAGTCGGACGGAGAGACAGGGGAGTAAGATGTATTGTAGAGTTGTTTCGAGGAGCGGGAGAGAAAGATTAGTGTGGGGCGCAGACGAGAGGGTAGCGAGGAGAGTTGTGACAGAAAACAGGTGCCGACACCGCCGACACCTATGACGGCGAGGTATATGCTAGGTGAGGACATTCCTGAAGCTGATAAAGTGAAAGCGAGTTAGGATGTGAGAGAAAAGCTGGCATTGAAACTTTTCTCTGTCGCACTCGATCGAATGCGGGGTAAAATGCGAGGAGCGGGCAATGTGTCAAGCGGCAAGGCTGTGCACCACAGCCTCGTCAGATGTCACGGGCACTTGCTCCAACAGATCGCTGCAATAGCCGTGTCGGAGGAAACGAGGCTTCAGTAGGATATTCCCCTGTCTGTCATCGTCGTAGATAGTCATTGATTTCGGACGTCAAAACCGGGAAGACCAGCCTGTCCACCTATATCCTCCCAGAATTTGGCGTAATCCACTCCTTTCTTCTCCAAGCGAGTCCTCAGTTCGCGAATCGCTTCAGCCTGTCGTCCTTCCGTAAACCCTCCAGGTTGCGAGGTTTCAAACTGCACAATCTCAATCCAACGGAAGAAAACAGCTTCAGCGCCAAGTTCCGTAAGAATGCGTCTGAACCTTTCCACAGTGCTGTCCTGCTGTTGTTCATGGGCGATGATTTCTGGCGCTTCATGGACCTTCCAGACCAACCAATGCTTCTCATAGTAAACCAGGGCGAGATTCTCCAGGTCTTTGAGTTTGATTGCACCTTTCTCCACCAGCCTATGTGCATCCAGCATCGCCTTGAAATCGAGATCCCAGTCTTTGTCCAGGAGTAGATATCCAGTCTTTGCAAGAGATGTGGTCCGCATGGCGGGATCGACTTTGACTTTGATGGTCAATTCTTCATCCAAATTCCAGGTCTTTGCCTTATCAGGGTTGTCCCCAACAAGTAACGGTGTATCCCATTTTCTGCCTCTCCGAACAATAATCTCCGTGTCCCTGAAACCTATTGTCCTCCTCCATTCCCATGGGCCCACAGACCTCAATAGCCTGCTGCCAAAGACAAATTCCTTAGGCCAGCTCCCAATCAAGCCGAAGATGGCATAGTCAATCATCAGCAGGACTGTGCGTGAAGTGACGGCATTTATGAGTTCTCCCACTCCAGCAGTCGCCGTGTCAATTTTATACGCAGTGTCATATCCGAATATTGTAATGATTTGTTCAAGGTAGGTTGGAACGGCATAGTAGAGGCGGACACAGAGTCCGATCGTGATGAGCAGGTTGAGGAGGACGGGGACTGCAAATACTCTTTTTTTGAGGCTAGGCGGAGTATGATCTAGGTGAACTAAGTAGATGTGGTCCGTTGGAAGGGTCGAAAGGAAGGGTCTGAGTGAAGCTGGGGCGTATTGAAAGGGTGTGGGAGGCGCGGAGGCTGGGCTCGCAGGTGGCTTTGTGTGGGTTGTAGAGCTGCCCGCAGACTTGTTGGCTCGCTTTCCAGCGGCACGAGCCATCTTGACGGATTCTAGCAGAGGAGCGGGGGTGAACACCTTCTTGCTGGCGCGCAGGACCTTGTGCAGGCAGATCTTGGACTCCCTGCAACTTCTCTACGCGAGTCAGTATTTTCACGTGATAGCGGCTGACTGATTCAGACCACGTCTCGCCATTTAGAGTATAGCCGGATTGAGCCTTCAATCTCGGACGCCGTATTCTTCAGCTTCATCTCCCTCCTTCCAATCAGCAGTGAAGGCTTCAAAACGTCCTGCATGTGCTCCGATTGCACCATGATTCCCCATTCGGGGTAGAGCATCTCGTCTACCAGGTAGGGTCAAGCCCCAGCCAAGCATTGAGGCTTGTGTAAAGCTTGGTGTCCTGGCTCGCTCTGGCAGATGGGGGCGGTTCGAGCTGAACGGCAAAGCTGACATCGACTAGGGGCTGAGATTCCGAAATTGCCCAATCCAGGGCCTGCGCAATCTGCATCTGCTACTATATCAGGCACTTTCTGCTTACAAGACCCTGTCGCCCAATGAAGCCGTGTCTGAGGTGCCGAAGTTTTTGATGCAAGTGCTTATGCTCACCTCCTCTTGCCTCCTCCAGTACTGACCTCCGCCTTCGCGTGCCTAGCTATGCCTTTCGCATGTGGACGCGGGCCGTCGCTCTGAAATACCGACCCTTCGCTGCTCTCGCGACGATCTTTTGGAATTCCCTTTTGCGAAGCGTTGGCGCCCTGGGTTTCGCTGTCAAGTCAAGTCCTCTTTCCTTTGCACCCTTCTACTTTCGAACCGAGTCACTCATTCTTCCCTTTACCTGGCTTTTAGTTGACCTTGAGAGCCCCAAACTTGGTGTTCCTCCTTCGAAGTAATACTCAATATGGACTTCATTCCAGATCGCCTGCTCCTGGGCATCCGAGATGCAAAAAGCGCAGTGCCCAACCTCGCGAATGGACACAACCCGACAACCACCTCGGGCGGCGTGAACAACCCAAAGATGACCCATGCTCTGGGCAAGTTGGCTCAGGCAGGAGTCGCCGACGATGTCGTCAGCTCAGTCCTCGGCATGCCCTCTACCACGACTACCATTTACGCGGAAAAGATCACACATGCAGCTGAAAAACTTAGCAACGCCGGATTGGGTTCTTCCGTCACCAGTCCTTCCCCGTCACCATCATCATCATCCCACAGCAGCGGTCTTGCCACAAAATACATCGTTGTAATTGCTGTTGTTGCCGCCGTCGTCCTGCTTGTCCTTTTGACTGGCGGATGCCTGTGCTGGAGAAGGTACAAGAGAAGAAGAGCATATAATGTGGTGAGCAAGGGTGCAGACACGAAGGGCAAAGGTGTTATGCGGGAGAAGGAAGATATGTTTAATGCCGACATGGGAGAGTCAGAGAGTTTCAATGTCGATGGCCAAAAGCTTACAGAACGCAACTTCGAGAGCGGATATGACAAGGTCGATACTGGTTACGAGGGCACGGGCTATGGAGCAGTTGAAGAACATGGCGGCGACAAGAGGGCGAGGCTTGAGGCTTGAGGCTTGAGGCCATGGGTGTGATGCTGGAGATGTCGCGATTTATTGATCTCAATGTGGTGGTGATCTTCCCAAGAGAATGATGGGCATATGGCGTTGGTGAAGGGTGTCACACTGGAGGCAAAAGAAGAATGGTCCTAGCTGGAGTTGAGGTTAAGTTGGTGCCGTTTTCTTGTTGTCTTCTCGAGCCAAATTTCCACTTTCGTTTTCCTTATGATCTTTCCTTCAAGCCGTATGGACGGACTTGATTTTCTTATTGGTCGAGGCGCAGTGCAAAACATTTCATCTGCCCTTGTTGGCTCTATCACTCGACCCAGTTTCTCATTGTGTCAGCCTGCCTGTGTTACCCCCAGCTCACAGCGACATGTCCGGGCCCTGATAATATTACGCGGATTGAAATGGTAATGCTGACAAAATAGGAGCCGAGGCGCAGCAGAAGTGAGGTCCAAGACTAGTCGCGATTGTGGCTAACGGCGATGTTCTGTTCCGAGTTCACAAGGGCGCAGTTCCAGTCGACTTCAACCTTTTCGGTGCGGTGATCAGTCGAGCCCCAAGGTCGTTGCCACGATGGTATTGCCATCCCTGTCGATGGCACCAGGAAAGTGGTCACAGTCCAGGATACTGAATATACCATCTGATTGAGTCGTCTCGAGTTATTTAACCTGAAACTGCGAGAATTGACAAGCCAGGCGGGAAGGGGGTACTTGAACTCCTCGAGCTTATCATTGCGATCAGACTGGGAAAGGCCGTGCCATGTTCTTGAAGTCTCTATTTCTCAACTCATTTTCGAATAGGGACAATAGAGAAGATTTGCTTTCAGATATATTGAGCACGAGCAAAAGGTCCCCGGTACCTCTCTGCAATGCTTGAGGCAGGATCCCCCAGTTCCCTCCACGGTGCCGTAAGGTGTGACGGATAACTTAGAAGGATGACGATCTCGGATAGACTGAGATTGTAAAGACGGCAGTTGGGGGTAACATGGGCGGTCGTCACAAAGCATTGCATGATCACGGTCTCGCCCACACCGTGCCACAAGTGAGTTTTCCAGGCACAGAAAGTGCATTCAACGACGTGAGAGTGTGAGCAACTCTTCCGTTCTCCTCTTCGCTTTCCGTGATTTGCTAAGCTACACTCAGGTTCGTCTCTGCCGATCTCGCTACTCATCTTTCCTCTCTCTCGATATCACCTTAGTTGTCCTTCACCTTACGGACCCCCCAGGAATATCTCCTGCAATTCCTCGCCACTGCATTTCATCCCTAGTCATGTCTGGCAATACTATGGCTGACACCCCAGCACCGGCCGCGAGCGGCGAGTGCAAGAAGCGGAAAGTAGACGAGATGGACTCGTCAGGGTCTATGAGACTCACCGCCCCGAGATATCCCAAAGTCATCAAGATCCTACTAGAAGCTGACGTCACGCTAGAGGTTGGACATCGAGACGATGCTCTCGACGTTATAAGGTCTCAGGGTCTGTACTTGGCCTAGCCTCGAAGGTGTTCAAGGCAATGCTCAATTCCTAGTTCATCGAGGGCACAACCAAGGTCCTCAAGGTGAAAGACGAGGAGCCTAAAGTCTTTGTTGGCATTCTGTTACATTATCCACCATCAGTACAATTCAATTGCGTTGGTGGATGGCACAATATTGAAAGGGCTCATAGTCATTGCGGACAAGTGGAACTGCAAAGAAGCACTCATGCCGTGGGCGTTGTCTATGCCCCACGAATACCTGAACTTGGAGATTGAGGATTTCATGACTTTGGCGGCTATATTTGGCTTGGATGACCTTGTTTTAGCGGGCAACAGCCACATATATTGCACAGGGGGATCGTCCAATTAACCCATCTTACGGGGCGAGGCTTTCTGCCACCATTTCTCCTATCGCCCGTAACGCATTTCCATCGACAGTAACTTGCCCCTTGATTATCTTGAGGAATGCGACTGACTGATTTCTAGCTTTTCTCAACGAATTCCGGATCCAAAACCTTCTACGGAGCGCCGTCGCCATCATACACTCTAGATTCGGCAGGAAAACCAGGTCGGGAACGGAATTTGAGCCTGAGTCCCTCTGCGAGACGGCCTGAGCAGGATACGGTGCGTTCGTGGCTACATTCTTTCTCCAATTTGATTTGATAGACATACCTTCGTCCCCAAGATCGCGGCGCGGTACCCGGCAGTCCATTCGCCAAATTGCAACAACGCATCTTGGCAACCCTCACCCAGACGGCGGTCCTAACGGTGAGAGATGGCAGGGTCATTGGAGGGGAGTGAACTGCAAGTATTGCGGTCTACAAATCAAGGTCAGCCTAAGAGATCTCCTGGACAGTGAGCGGAAAGTCCTAGGGGTTTGTCTCAACTGCTTCTCGAAGAATGGAACAAACTGTCTACATCCACCGGTCTGTTTCAAGAATGGCCATCAGGGCCATAAAGAATGCTCCCACATCTGATCCTGGGACCGAGAGCACGGTTTGATTGGGAGGACTCCAGTTCTGACGACGGATGTAAACTTCTGGGGCATCTCTTTGGCAACGTTGCAATCCATGGGCAGTCTTCTCTTGTCAGTTGAAATATGGTCACTCTACCAGATCAGCGATGCATGCAACAGGGGAGGTGGTTGAGGATTTGAGACTACCTTAGCTGGTATGTTGCAGGCACGCTTCCACCCTCGCCGGATGAGCAGCTGCATCTTCAGAGTAGTGAATTCTCTCTATGGATACAATGCTCTAGCCGCTCCCTGTGCCATAGTGAAGCGCGTCCCGAAATCGTGTATGGTATGCAGTTCAAATAAACCTCAGCCTACCATCACCCCAGCTTGCACGCCTATTTTCATTTTATCTCGGACTTCTGATAGATGGCTCACTTGAACCTCAGGCTCATTGAACTCTATCTAGGGCCTCGGAACTTGCTACTTGTTTCACACGCCGTTGGTTCCCATCTACAAACGGCCTAGCGACATCTCTTATAAAGCCACCCTTTATCGTCACGCTGACAGCTACCGACATCCTTCAAACTTGGTGTGATCATCAAAGAGATCTTGTTTCAGTACCACGACATAGCAGCCCCTTCGGACTCTCGATATCAAAGACTCCATGAGCTTAGGGTCAAACAGACCAACTCTCTACAACCAGACGCTGGGTCATCGAAATGTGCCAGGAAACTTGTCAAAATCGTCCCAGGTGGAGATGTCATACTGAAGGTCGGTCAAGGGGCGGAAGCTCTTGACATACGAGTCTCGGGCCTAGTCATCAATCTTGCATCAGGCATGTTTTCTCGAATGCTCTCGTCGTTGTTCACTGAGGGCAAGCACCAAAGTAATCCAACTAAAAGGAAAATGATCCAGAGGTTGTCCTGGACTTCTGCAACATTGCCCACCACAGTATTGAGAACCTCGACCACTGCAACGGCCTGAGGCTCTTGAAGCTTTCTGAGCTGGCGGATGCACGATTTTGCGAGGGTGCTGCGGCCTTGGGTCGCTACAACGCTGTCCAGTGCTTTGAAGGCATTAGAGAAGTAGGAGAGGGACAAGACGGACGTCAGAGTGTACGGTAATTGGATAAGCTCTAGCTCCTTATATGGGCTCGACATCGCACAGTGCCTCGGAGTTGCCATGGTTTTCCAACTCGATGAGTTATTCTGGTTGGCGACAAAATATTCCATATTATGTACCCCGAGATTCGCTAGCGAACATCATCAAATACCCTCATTTGCTGAGTCAGCTCTCCGTTCAGGCCAACATCCTCTTTCAAGGTATGTATCACGGTCCTCTGGCCGTCGATACGCGTTCCCAAAAGGTCTCTCTTTCAGAGGTGCTTAAGCAATCCCACGAGCGGCTACTGCACGACTTCCTCAACAATGTCTTAAAGTCCGTTGGTAAAGATTTCGATGCAGGTGCGGTTTATGGTCGATAAGGAGGCGAGCCTGCTGTTCCAGCGAGTACGGCGTTTTCATGCTTTACTTGGCTCGCGAGCATATGAAGCCAGGACAAGCTGACGAATACCGGGAAACACTCTCTGAGGCGATGAATGTGATTCTGCTTCTCTCACAGCGAAGTAACAGCGCTTCTTGGGATAGCATATTAGCGAACGAGGAGTGCAAAAAGGGCCTTGCCAAACCTTGTCGATACTACTGGGGAGATATCATGGCAGACCCATTGCGGCTTGTTCAACGGTACATGTACAAGGTGCAAGGTGTTTGTCTTTTCTGCTACAGGTGTGGCAAAGAGGGATTCTTCCATCGCACATGCCCGATTCAGGAAATCAAACCTAGGTTGATGCCGAGGTTCAGACTACTGATTTTGAACGGGGTTGGTCCGGATTGCATCGACGGCATGCACCGTGTGGAGACACGATACCAACCGTGTAACATGTGGAGCAAGAGTAGCGGGCAGAATACTGATGAGAGAGGATGAAGGTGCCATGGGCTACATGTCATGGGGCATGTTGCAAATTAAAACAAGTTGGCTGGAGCAAAGGTTTCAACAGAATTGAGATGTGATTAAACCGTTTCTCATATAGTCAAATTCACTTCCACCTCATTCTTCTCATCGATGGCTCTGGGACACATATCCCTTACATATATTGTTCCAGTATTCCTCCCTGTGTGATGCTTCCTCCGCACCCAAACGGGGAATGAAAATAGAGGCGTCATCGATCACCTATATTCGCCATAGCACGTCATACAATCAGTCGGGAAACTCATACCCTCAACGAGGATGGATTATTTCTTCAAAGAGATGATGACGAGGATGTGCGGTCTACAAGAGATAGTACCAAAAAGACGAAAATAGAAAGTGGGTGTTTGTTATTCTCCCCGAACGCACGCTGGAGTTGGCCAGGACATGTCTGCTGGATCGGGTTAGCGCAGAACTACCACCCAGTTCTCGATCCCCCTTAAAGCCTTCCCGGCCTGGTTTACAGCCAACGAGCCTAGCGCATGGACTTCATGTCTTCTCAACAACTCCAAAGTGTCAAAATGTCAACGTCGATTTCAAAGCCTTCCCCCTCCCCAATTGACCTTCAGGCTCTTTCGTGCGCTCAGTATAGGTTGTACAAGTACATCGCTCTTTGTTCGTCCAGGACGTCACGAATCCGGTCTCCCGATGTAGTGCCTCCCAGTCACTTGAAGGCCTTCAGCCAATGATTCTGCCATGTTGTCAGGGACTGCCACAAAGCCACCACGTCCTTTGAAATAGGTTAGTGGTAAGGTTGACAATCGTCCCCAGACGCCAGCTGAGACTTCGGATAGCAAATTGAGTTTATAGGAAACACGTTCGACTCGGGAGCTGCGCCTTATTTCCCAGTATTTTGAAGGGCATGGCCGCCCAGGCACGGGGCCGAAACCCGTATATCGGACTCCAGAGGAGATTAGTGTCTTACCGAATGCAGCCTGTCAAACGAGGCTGTGAGACTGGAATCAGTCTGGATAAGACGCCACCATTTCCATTTCGGCCGCCTGGTTGCACAACATTTCGAATTTTCACACAGCTGGCCCTCGTGTTGTATGTCAGCCATCAGCGGTAGCAGTCTCGTTGAACTGCCTATGCGAGGTTCAGGAGCCCGTACATTCAGTTTTATCGTCTTTCCCTCTAATTGCAGTCCCCTGGCCCAAATCTCTGTGGCTTCCATGGGTTTGGCAGCCTCGATTTCTATTTGCCAGTCATCATGTTTCTCCTGAAGAGTGCGCCCAGCGGCTTCTTGTCCAGCGGCTGCCTGGACCGGGTGTTTTTTCAATAAAAGGCGAGTCCTCACAACTCTCGATTGCTCGATGACGGTCGGTGCCTTTTCAGTCTTTTCGTCCAAGTCGTTCGTTTACTCCAACTATAGCCATTCGTTACGAACTCCAGAGAATACTATCAGGTTTTTTTCTTTTCCCCTTTTCTTCAGTCATGCGCTTCTCTGCCATTGCAGCGGGGTTTGCGGCCATAGGCTCTGTCATTGCCGAAGATCTACTCTTCTTGGACGACCTCGTTGGGAATGAAGAAGAGCATGCCATTGCCCTCGGATTCACGACCAAGGTGGTCACAGAAACAGAATGGCGCGCCATGAAGACCTCTGACTTTGCAGCCTTCAAAGCGATCATCATCGGGGACCCCTTCGGTTCTGGTGATGTGAGTTTGATCCAGGTTCTGGAAGACACGAACACTATTTGGGGCCCTGCTGTCACCGGAAACGTCATCATACACGGTAGGTACTACGGTCCCGAACCAGCATATTCCGCTGACATGGTGTAGGTGCCGATCAATCCAACCACGATTCATTTGGCGTCGCCGGTGCGGCTGTACTCATTGACAACAGTATCAAGTTTGCCGCCGCCGGGGTCTCTCCAACCGGTTCCTCTCAGACTGGATTCTATCTGTCCCTTTCGCAATATTACAATACGGCGGCACTTGATACCCCCGTACCAGCGCTTTCCTACTTTGGAGACTTCAAAGTCTTTGGCCAGGACAACAATGGTCAAGGAGGGTACAACGCAATTCACATCGTTGCCTCGTCGCCCGCAATCGACACGCTCACCGACGATGATCTTTCGAACTGGTCCTTCAGCACCCATGAGGCGTTCTCATCCTACCCCTCGGTCGGCCAGAATGGTTTCCAGGCACTGGCAATCGCGGACGGAGTCATCACCACCGGCACTCAGAATTATGGTGATGGCCATTCTGGTCTCCCATACATTCTAAGTCGCGGTGCAACGCCAGCAGGCTGCGGCGACGGAAAGTTTGATCCTTCTCTGGGCGAAGAGTGCGATGACGGCAATACAGTGGATGGCGACGGTTGTTCCAAGAGTTGTAAATGTGAGAGCGGCATTGCTAATGGAGATGGCACTTGTGGCTCCGTCACAACCACTAGCAGTTCGACTACTTCCACCACGGTATGGAAAAGTCTAATGATGCCTGGCCAATGTTCGTTGTTTGACATGTGCACAGACCTCGACCTTTTCGACCATGTCCTCTAGCACGACCACCACCTTCACAACATCTACCCTGTCTACCACATCTAAGACCTATTCAAACACGACTACCTGGTCGACGGGAGTGAGGCCTACCACTTCAATTATCACCTTGGAAACGACGACCACAGGCAGTCAAGTTACCACGACCACCTCGAGAAAAGCCTGGACTGCTCCCCCTTACGTTACGCCTTCCGTCCCCAGGTCGAGGTGCATTGGCATTGAGGTCATCGTCTCAGTGACCGAAATCGAACAATGTAGCACCATTGACGCTACTAGCACAGGTACGTAGTTCCTCCTTTGACGGCTCTCATCGAGTGAAACATTAATTTCCCATAGTCACGTACACCGCCACAAGCGTGCTCTCGACGTTCCAGAAGCCCATCTACAATACGCCTATTTCATCCATGCCCTGCTACGTGTGTGCATTTGAGTCACAGGGCATCACTGTGACGGATTTCATCACAGCTACAACAGTCAGTATTATCACGATGATTGCCATTGCTACCACTGACATGCTTTCCAGACTCATTGTCTGTCCAAGCCAACGGCAGAACCAGCAGTCATCTACCCTTGCTCGACATGCCAGGGCACGAGCTTGACGGCATCATGCCCCTGGAAAGTCACGCCGACCTGGTCCCTCCAGCCATACACCACGTACGGACCTGCTGGGAATGAACACGAAGAAGGACATCCCCACCACGGTGGCTATTCTGCCACGGTCGCTGCGACGGCGTTGACTTACGGAAACGCGCCTAGTTCCCCTCCGCAGTACATTCCGGGTGCTTCACCTGCGGCATACACTCCCAGTGGCTATCCTGCTGCATACACTCCCGCAAACACTCCTGTCGCTGCGGCGTCAATCAGCTATGAAGCAAGTGCAGCCTCAGGTCCCCCATCAGCAAGCTCCTCCGGCTGGGCTCCGGATGCGACGTCGCTGGTGGCCGCCTATACAGGTGCGGCCTCTAAGCCCACAGGGTTGGTGGGAGCGTTGTTGCTCGGAGCAGGGGCTGTTGCAGTTATCGCCATCTAGATACCTAGGGGTCGAAGCAGAAGCGCCTTGGGTTTGCTGATGTTACTCCTCAGAATAGATAGACTGGGGTTTTCGCACGCAGCAACGCCTTCGAGGATGTTTTGATGAAGGAGGGATGGAGCCCCGTTCAGGTCTTTTCTGTCAGAGTCTCGTCACTATTCCGTTCGTTCCTTTTATAGCTAGGTACTACAATTTACATGACAGATTTATCTTCCCGACTCTTATGGATAGGCAGAGAAGCGCTCTTCGTCAATAGTGGCTCGAGCCTCTCTCAACCCAAGCGGCGATATGAGCCTAATTCGGGTCTCAGTGACTATCGACCCGGTCAGGAGAAATCCAGAAAGGGTAGAGAAGGGCAGTGCTGATATGTAGAAGTGAAGGAAGAAGGGTCCTCTGAAAGTGCCACGCAGGTATTGCCACGCCACTTTGTTCGAGGTTGAATGGACGTTGTAGATGGTAAGAGATGCATCGACGAGAGACAGGCCTGCGTTCTCAGCTGGAGAGGCAGCGTAGCTTGGTAGCGTGTAAATCGTCATTAATGCGCTTGACTTGGCTGTTCTTGATATCCTGGAATGTCTTCTCTTTCTCCATGTTTGTTGATCATCAAATGGGTAGGTCTACCATAACTTTTTCCTGACAACGACGGTAAAGGGTAGAGGAGTCGAAGCTGCTCATTTAGAGGCAACAATGCTGCACGTGTGAATTCGATTCTCCGTCATTGCTTGCTCAATCTTCTTCCACGGCGCTCTCACTACTGACCCCCAATCGTCTCACCACCCCAGACCGTCAACTTCACAACACTAACCCAGCACATCATCTCTTCCTCGCTGGCTTCGATATTGTCCTGGGCCTAGCCATGGCTGACCCTGACAGCAACGACGCCAACTTTCCTCTTCCCACCGAGGGGACAAAGCGAAAAGTCGACACCATGGAATCCGGGGGAAAAAACAGAAGAGCAGCGCACTGCCCAGCTCATCGAAGTTCTCACCGATGGCGATGTTCTCGTCAAGTGCGGCAGGGGCAAGAATGCCCTTGAAATTAGGGTCTCTGGAACGGTGATAAGCCTCGCCTCAAGGGTGTTTTTGCGGATGTTGTCATCGTCACTTATCGAAGGGACAACAGAGGTCATTCGCTTGTCGGAGGACGGCCCAGAAATCCATCTTGACGCTCTTCAAGATATTCCATCACGAGATCGAAGATCTTGGTCATCTTGATGCACAGGGTCTGATCAAGTTAACCACAGTTGCAGATATGCGACTACGCACTCCAATACCAAAGCCATGGGGTTTGATGAGGGTCCCCGAGCATGATAGAGCTGTTTCATGGAAGTTTCTCTCGTTCCAGAAGGAGGGACGCAGCGGCGGTGGTACTCACAATCGACCGTTCGGATCTGGAGCTTGGCATTGGTGAGCTGATGCTATTACATATTGTAGTCATATTCGGTATGGGGATGGTCTTTTGGCAAAAGACAAGGACCCTAATCTTTCTTTCACGGCACCAATCCCTACTCACGGACTTGAATGAGAGCAGGTATCTGAACTTGCGTCCCACTCCCTACTCGAACGGCTCCTCGAAGGATATACCAGAGAATTGCAGCCGATGTGAGGAGTAATCAAGAACTGGGAGCAATTGAGAGGCTTGGGAAGCTACCACAGCAAGAACACTGGAGGAGACACTATTGGGCTATTGCATAGTCAGTGAGCTCTGTAAGGCTCGACATGATCTGTGAGCGCGAGGGGAGGGAAGGATGATGTTTGTGAACATGATGAGCTCAAACACAGAACAGTAGAGGTCGAGAGGTGAAGTGGTGCTCGGCAAATCTTCGGGTATTTTGTTGGTCCGCGAGGTACTCGGCCAAAAGCAGAGGTTGTAAACAACCGCACCACTCAACCTTCGAAGCCTCTTTACTGCTAGGCCATATGTTCCTGTAACTACCCTGTACATTATGAGCTCACCGGCGTCAAAGCGCATGCGCTTGTCGACCTCAAGGACCTCCTTCTCGGGTCGCAAAAGCATCTCGAGCGTCCAGTCAGCGCTCTCTCGACCAACTTCGGCCGCCGGGCAGAATCGACTTACAAGCACGCAACCCTCGTACGACTTCATTACCGGAGGAGCAGTCGAAAATCCCTCACAGCCGCCCAGACAGTCCAGACTCCGCCAGCCTTCTGTCTCCCGGGCGGATCCTACCAAAGATGAAAGTCTGCGCGCGAAGATTAACTCCCTCGAGTACGAGCTGAAGAATTTACAGCAAGAGCGGGGTCTTTTGGCATTGCAACATGAGAAAGAGCTGCGAGAACAACAACTCAGGGCCGATGCAGACTTCAAAAAATACCAAACTGCTGAAAGCGCTGCTCAAAAGGCGACCCAGCGACAAGAGGCACTTGCGAAGGAACTACGCGAAGTGCAAGATCAAAGGATCAACGAGAGAGCCGCGCTAGAACGGCAACTACGGGATCTCCAAGATCAAACCGCCTCTCTGAAGGAAGATGCTGCGGACGCGCAGGCACGTCTCGCTGATCAAGAAAGGCACTACAAACACCAAATCAACGACGCCGAGGCAAAACGAGCAGCCCTCCAAGAGACAGTGGACAGTGTCAAACAACAACTGGAAGAACTAGGTCAGCACTTTGAATCATCCCAGGCGCGTCTGTCAGAGCGAGATGCGACAATCGAGGCTCTCGAAACCGAGGTGGCTGCATTGAAGTCGCACTCTGGAGACAGCGAAGCGATGCAGGTTCTGCAGAACCAGCTTTCTGAACAAATGGGCCACATCCGAAAGCTCGAATCGACCAACAGAGAACAGCTGGCCGAGTTGCGGCGGCTGCGCGAAGCGCATCGCAGTGTAGAGGTCGTCGAAGAACAGAAACATGGTCTGGAAATCGAGCTTCAAGTGCTCAAGGACGTGCAGAGACAATTGGGCGAGGCTCAGATACAACGAGAAATCCTCGAGGATGAAAAGAGAACCTGGACAAGCCTCTTGCAGCTCGACGGGCAAGAGAGCGAGTTCGACTCTCCCGAGGCTGTCGTCAAGGCTCTGATCCAGCAACGGATAGAGTATGCTTCAGTCATGGACAGACTGGGCATAGTCGAAAGTGAACTCTCGGAAAAGGATGAGATCATCAAAGCACTGGAAAGAGACAAAGCGGCCTTGAACACCGAGGTCGAGAATTTGAAGACTATGAAAACCGCACAGCCCGATGCTGGCCAAGACAGCAAAGCCTACAAGAGACTAGAGCGACAACGGGTCCTTGCTGTCAAAGAGGTGGAATATCTTCGCGCTCAACTGAAAACCTTTGACACCGAGGAGACTGTCTTGATGGATAACCAGAACTTTGATTCACAGCGGTCTGAACAGATCAAGAACCTGGAAAATCTGGTAGATCAATACAAGGCAGAGGTGCAGACACTCCACTCCGATTTATCGAAACTCGAAGCTTCGCCTGCAGTCGCTGCTCCCGTCCAGGAAGAGCCCCGCGGAACAAAGCGACCGGCAGATTCGCAGGAGCCTGAGGGCGACGGTGGCAATCCACAGCTAGGTGCATTATTGCGGAAGAACAAGAACCTCCAAATCGCATTGCAGAAGACAGCTCAGCAGTCACAAATGCTGGCCACGGATCTTCAAGCAACAAAGGCACAGCTCAAAGCCTTACGAGAGAGTGCCAAAACACGAGTGTTGGAGCTTCGAGACAACCCTACCGCCAAAGCTGAGGCGATAAAATTGGCAACGTTACGGACACTGAAGGAAGAAAACAAGGCGCTTCTTGCACAGCTGAGGGGCGGAGACCTTGACTCCGTCAAAATGGTCCCTGCCAGTTCGGTTGATGCACTCAAGCTCGATCTGAAGGATATGGAAATGGTAGTGGCCGAAAAAGAGAAGCGGATGAGACGGCAGCGGGAGATCTGGACGCAAAAGGCCGCAGAATTTCGGGATGTTATCGCAAGTGTCCTGGGATACAAAGTCAACTTTCTCCCCAATGGAAAGGCAAAAGTTTCGAGTATGTATTATGGCCGACCTCATGATCTAGGAGACGAGAGCGGGGATGAAGAGGACAACCACTACATCATTTTTGATGGGGACAATGGTACCATGAAGATAAGCGGCGGTCCCGAGAGTCCTTTCGCTGCCGAAATCAGGGATCTGATCAACTTCTGGGTGAAAGAGAAGAAGCAGATCCCATGCTTCCTTGCGGCGATGACCCTGGAGTTCTATGAAAAGTTCACCAGCAAGGAAAACGAGGCTTGATCTGGACTGTTGGATGTGTTCTACCAAGGAAGGGTTAGTGCCGAGATCTGCCGTTATGATCTCTCCACTTAGTACGGACGAACCGATCTATGAATAATGAAACTGTTGATCCGCAGCTGCGGAAGAATTCCTACAGGCACCCAGAATATATCACCACCATATACTTGTTATATGATCTGCCTTGTGTCTTCACTTCCAGACACTGCCAGGCAGTGCTGGTGGCACATGCCATGGATGTCCGTTGTACGACACTTGAGCAGAAGAAGACTAGTTCCAACCTGTTCGGGAATGGCGCCGCTCAACTATGATGCGGTCCGTGGTCTAGGCCCGAGGCTAAAAGCCACATCATCCCGCTGCCGTTTCTCGAGATCCCCCTCTCCTGACACTCTTTCGCCTACCCCGGATTATTCACCCATTGTGCCCGGTGCCCACCAGCCTCGCTTCGTCTTTCCGTTTAGCCCGTCATTCCACCACCGCGAGTAGCAAACGCAGCTTGCCAATCTGCAAGACAATTCGAGCCCGTACCCGCGAAGGGCCAGAATCGGAAAGACTCTAATATTGACGATGGATTGCTTCTGTCTTCCTGACCTCGGGACCCGATGATGGGAGCCGCTGTTGACCATGACGATCCACAAAGTCTCCATCCGTGACCTCAGAAGATGCCGCCTCAGTTCTTATTCGTCAATAAGGATGCTGCCAGCGCCTCGCTGACCCGCAGCAGTGCCGCTGAACAGACCTCCATCAACTCTCACGTTCAGCGTGGTCGTCGACATAGGCGCTCTGCCACCAGCGCCAGCCGCGCTGGGACCAGGGCAAGGAAAAACGCTGGTCGAGAAAATGTCGCTCCTTCGGCGGACCCTGTCTTCCCTGACTCGTCGCCGTCTCTTCCATCGGTAAAGAGCGAGGCCGCTCAAGATGACAGCAGCAATCAGATGTGGCTACCTGCCCGGCTGTCTCCGCCCACCAAGTTCGCCGATCAAACGACACGGGAAAATCCTGTACCAAAGGTGCGGGCTCGGAAAATGGCTTCCAAGTTGCAGACCCAGGACCCTCCAGCAAAGACGACTGTCGAGGAGAAAGCAGTCGTGTTACTAAATTCTCCGCAAGCTCTAACATCTCCTCGGGACATCACTCAGATAACTTCAACCTCTCTCGACCCCTTCGGCCAATCAGTCGTTAAACTCGACCCACACGTGGCAAGGCTTTGTCGGTACTTCTGCGAAAGCTTCCATCCGAGCGTCTGGCATGCTGAGAGTTGGGCATCCCGGGAAGGTTCGTATACATATCAGACTACCGCTGTGGAAGTAGTTCGACGAGCCATGCAAAGTGAGGTTGAAATGAATGCAATGCTAGCCTGCATGGCTGCCAGAATTGAGAACGTGGACTTAGTCCCCGGCCAGGGAACGGACAAATACATGCACAACGCTCTGATGGCCGTACGGCGCCGCTTCAGCTCAGCGCCAAAGCAACAATTGCTCTTGATCGTCTTCCACTTATATGCAGCGGATGCCTACCGACAAAACTACCAGGCTGCTAAGATACATATGCAAGCAGCCAAAGCGCTATTTGATTCGTGGGGGGGCCTACACTATGTGCCGGACCCAGCTCTGAAGGAATTGTTCATTATTGGGGACGGGCACATGTCTGCCGTTCTTCTGGAGCCCTGCAGTTTGCCATGCGAATACGATCCTGGACCGTACTGGGACGTCACGCCGCCTGAGCTTCGGCTTGCTCCGCGACAAAACTTGAGCCGCTCCGCGCCAGCTCTGCAGCGACTGTGTGTGCATGGATATTTCCCGGGGGAACTGGTGCAGGCCATCCAAGAGACGGCGGAATGCTCGTGGGTCTTGCACCATGCACCACTTGGCGCACCAGAGGCGTCAAAACACGCCGCGAGATGGCTACAGTGGCGTCACGCGGCTGTTCGATACCGGCTCCTGGCTATGGAATATCCAGGATCTAGCCTTGACGTTGTCCGAGTCGGGCTGCTGATGTGGATATTGACCTCTATGGTGATACTCGGGTTGAAGCGATTAGGAGGTCTCATTGCGCCAAAACTGCGCACGATTTTCCGGTCAGTTGACGAACCATATGGCCAGTGGGAAGGGTTAGTGCAGCTCAAGACATGGGTGCTTACTATCGGCGCTATGTGCTCCATGGTAGGCAGTGACGAAGAAAGGTGGTTCGTCGAGCAGCTTTTCGAGATCGGGTTTGTTGAGCATATTCGACGCTTTCAGGAGACGCATCCAGATTTCGACACTCTAGATGTGCTGAGGAACTTTCAAGAGAAGTTCTTCTACTATGATGCCATCCAACGACTCAGGCTGGAAAGATTGGCTCGTCTTCTCGGTGGTGGACTGAGTGAGACACCCAGTTCAGCTTCACAGAGCAGTCCCAGCGATCTATCGCGGAAATCAAGATCTCCCGCTTGACCAGTCCCGGAAATCACCACTACAACGGATCCCCTCATTGATTGCCTTTTTTGGGGGGAGCAATCTGATCGAACTTCGGGGAACAATTTCTTCTATTAGTGCCGGGATGCATGACGAATGTCGTGTCGGTTGCAGCCTGTCTTTGCTATCAGCAGACCGAGGCGGAGTTGTGATATTTGATGGTAAACAGTCACACTTCCGAACGCCCCAAGCCTTGGTTTTGGAGCTATCTTGTAGCCTTGTCCTCATTACTGGATGATGGAATGGAAATTTATACAGCGACTTCAGGTAATCGAACAGAACAGATGGATCAGGATTGATGGAAGATGGAAGGACCGGTTTGCACCGCTCCTATTCGCAATGAAGCCAGCAAGCTAGTTACCCGGAGCCCCTCTAACTTGGCGATCATTACTTATGTTTCCCAATACCCACTCAGACGCACTAGGTTCTCACTCAATCTATGGGATGGGTGATACGGTTACTGTCCTATTTGTGACCGCCGTCTCCTAGCACCACGCGGTCTACAACTCATAACACGGGGAGAACCACTGGGGTTCGACACGAGGCGAGACACCATAATTTTGACCTAGCTCCTGCGGAGTACTCTCCTAAGGAAAGGCGCAGCAAAGATTACGCAGGCTAGGCCTCGGGATGGTTCAGAGCAGGATGGGGGGATACCTAGTAATAATTTCGATAATGATTTAGACAAAGATAACGTCCACTGAGGATGTTCGTCGTCTAACTTGGTGCTAGTATGCATGTAGGCCAATGATGAATCATGTGGGCATGTTACCAGATGGTAGAAAGGTTGAGCGAAATTACTTATGATCAGGCTCGCCTTGAGCAATCGTTCTCTAGGCCAACCAAGGCCAATTTCGCGAATAACCGCTGGACTGTGCAAACTACGTACAAAAGGGGGGAAGCGAAGTTGAAACTCGGCAGTAGGAGATTTTGACGCGAACCACGGAATGGAGAAACTTTGTTGCACGAAACTGCGCAAGTGACTCCACACCGTCCTCTGTGCATCTCACCAACACCAGCAAATTTCGGCACGTAGAAATGCCAATAGCCCTAGTTGCCGCCAAATACATCGAACATGGAATTTCAAAACCGCCCGTTCTTCCACTGCATGAAGTGTTATTGCTCTGTCAATGGACTGTGCCCTTTGCTCTGATGAAAACCACCCTCGTTATACATGGACAACCTGCCGGTAAGGAAATCTCTAACAGCACCCGCTCAAGAAGCGGTGATGACCCCAGTGGTATGTAGCAGACCCTTCCACAGACTGATGCGGGCTCCATTCGCACCGTCAGGTGAGATCAGACGCATCACAGGTCATCTTCCTCTCGACACATAGCGCCGCTCTGGCCAAATCATTTCAAGCAGCACGCCATCAGTCCATGTCCCCTCTCATGATCTCTACGCAAAAGGATACAAAATTCTTGGTGTTAAGCCCTCCGGCGTAAGAGAAGAGGAAAAACTGTCAAAATTTCCCTCAGCGTCCAATGAAGACCAGCGAGCTGGTCAGGTATTCATGTGCATTTGCATAAATATCCCTCACGGGTTCAGTGCTGATTCGCTGCATTGATAGCCAGGGTTCAGCAGGTTGATATTCAGTCCAGCTTTGATCATTTCGCAGCCGTTGGGCGAGTAGGTCCGGATTAAGACTACATCATGTGCGCGCGCAATCAATAAAGAACTTCAAACAACCTACATACCAACCTCTTGAAAGCAAACATATGCCTGGCAGCGTAGCCGTGGAGGTGGAAACGGCATGATTCTTGTCGACTTTTCCGCTGGTATACGAGCAAGAAAAAAAGGCCCCCTAGAAGGGAAGAGAAGGCAAACCTAGAGCCGCTCCTGGAGGATGCTTCCGGCAGAGGGTAGTTCTTCCTGAGACGCAAGCTCCCACTTGTCGATTTTCAACTGTATCCACCCGCCTCCTTTCCACAGGCAAAGATTTTTCAAAGCTGCCAACAGCATGGTGAAGAAGATGCGTCACCACGTACCCATTGCATAACGCGCACCCAGTAAAATGCTCCCTGTACCTGACGGCATCGGGTGCCCGGGGACCAAGAAAACTCAAAATCATACAGCCAGTTCTGTTCCTGCATTGGCCGAAGGATGTTCTGCTTCCGCTGCTTCTGTAGCAGTCGGGCCTGCATCGACAAGTTCCCAGCGATATTTGGGAAAACTGGCTGCTCATCGCTCAACTTGGCACCAATCCATTCAGCAGGCTTGCTTCCCTATATGAGGCTTGACCTTTCTGAGGTAATTGCATCGCAAAGGCCATCGTGCTTGGCAAAGAAAATCAAACGGTCTTCGTATTTCTCTCGGTATGAAACCAAACTAATCATGATTAGCTCTCCGAGCAGTGATTCCACTGAATCTGCGTGAGAGGTGTCAACGCCGGAGACGCTGGCGACGGATACAAGACTGCCACGACAATGCGATGATGGCATTCCCAGCCGCAACGGCAATACTTTGGCTTGATCTACGCACTCGAGCCTTTCAATAAAAGCAATTCCGGACTCCTATGAGGTAGAGCAAACTCTAGGCAGTACTATCCGACCTAGCGAAAGTCCTGATACCCATGCGACCCAAGGTTTCCGGGCACGGACTGCGCTTGAAAAACAGGCTTCTTCTTCCCAGTGGTTGGTAGACAGGTTCATGCTCTTGCGAGTCCATTGGCCGAATTTTGGCCAGGGAGTGCCAGACTGTTCGAATATCCGCTGTACATGGCATGGCATGACCAACTCCGCAAGCTCCTCACCGTCCAGTTCTGGTTCGCATTGGCATTCTTTAGTCGCCACTTTTGTTTCTGGGCAGGGAGAAGGGGCTGGTGGGCTGCCTTGCCCTCGGCGCCAGGAATCTGGATCGACCAGCCTCACACCTGGAATGGCCTCACACACTGTTTGGTTGTTATCACGCTCCGCACATTCCAGGAGTCTTTGTCGTGTTTGTTGCAGGACAGCCTCGCGGTCGAACTCAGATTTGGAGGTCCAGGGTTGTTTCTGGCGCCGAACCTCTTCTGCTGCCGAGTGGTCAAGTGCTCGAAATGAAAGCCTGGGTTGAAGTTCGATCGTCGGCGCCGGCTGACGTAGGCGACAGGATAAGCTCGACATTGGCGCCAGGTACGCGAGAGAAACAACGGCCACCATTCGTTAAGCACCTGGAAATTGGCAGAGTCAGTGTGAAGCTAGGGCGTTTCACGAGGGCGGACTCAAAGCCTAAAAGGCTAGAGGAACAGGACCCGCTGGGCAACTGACAGGGGCAATCTGGGGCCTGGTGCGCCACTATCTCCTGGGGGTCACCCATGCCAATTGGTGCTGCTGTTGCGAATGCTGTTCCTGTGCCGGGTCCCCCCATCTCCCTGGCCCCCAGCGGTGGCTCCTCTGTTGTTGCAAGCAGAATGTCTCTTCCTTGTCCGCTTCCTCTTGTGCTCTCCTTCCTATTTTTCCGCCAGAGTTCTCGTTGGCTTGATTGATTATATTGCCCACAGACGTCTCTTCTGCACGTCGTCCGCTCGTTCTCCCCAGCCCTGCCAGCATACAGCTCGCGTTCACTCCTTCACGCGAAAGCTCATTCGCTTCGTCGCTCTCTTCCCCTTTTACCACACTCATTTGCCAGAGACTCGATCTGAGATCGTCCGAATCCCAGCGATTAACCACTCCTTTTCTCACCCAAACCGCGAAATCTCTTCTTGACCGGACCTCAAGAAGCCCGAGTAGAAAAGTCGTCCCAGGACCAGAAGACAACAACACAATGCGCTGCACACTGAACTCCTTGGTGCTGGCCACCCTTGCAATTGGCCAAGCATATGCTGCCACCGTTTCTGGGGTTCATTCCCACCTGCACAATCATCTCAAACGCAGGCACGACCATGTCGAGTAAGGTGTCCATTGGTGACACAGATCCGCATATGGACTGACACTGGTCAATTATAGGAAACGTGAGGCTGCTCTGACCGACGCCGATGCCGCGAAACTCACCGCCATGGGTGTGGCATCGCTTGGTGCCAACTCCTACACCCCCAACGGACAAGCCTGGTTTGGACAAGATGGCCCGTATCAGAATGAATTTGTCAACGACTCGGGTGAAGATCTGATTCTTGTCATTTGGGGTGTTGCAGGTTCCTGGATCAACGCCGTTCAACCGACCATCACCGCCTCGCTCCCGGCCAACTCGTCCACCTGGGTTTCCTTTGCAGATGGAGCTTCCGGCGCTTGGACCGCTATCTACGAGGATACCCAGATGGTGAATGGACAGGCCAGCAATACCTGGGGCGAGTTCACTTTTGGCCAGTGGGGCGTTGTCGATGTCTCACGAGAGGTCAACATGAACGGACACCCAATGAGCATTGTAGGACCGTCCTGCACAACTGACATGGACACTTGTGTGTTTGTCTGCTCTTCTGGAGACGTATGCATGTACGGCTACCAACTCGTCAACTGCGAAAATGGATCTCAACCTGGCGCCAACTATGGTACTTATGAAGGCTCGCCTAGCGGTGGCTGCGGTGGCATGGGATCCAGTGCTACGCTGAAGACAACATTCTCCTAAAAGAGAAGGTCCGATGGTCAGGGTGCGTTGGATGTAAGAAAGGGGGGCGTCGGGGGAATTCTCTTTATCCAAGAGTTGGGTTCATATCTGGATGGTGCGTGCATGGTGCCTGTTAGGGGTTCGTTGAGGTTCCGCAGATCAGGAAAAGAGGAAATGTAAAGACAATTTGGGTCACGATATCGAAACATGTCAACAACTGGATCTACTGGACTGATATTACCGACCACTCTTCCGATGCCATTTGGCGACATTCGATCCTTCCATGTGAGTCTCGACTCGGGGATGCGTTGGGCAGATGTATTGTCCTTGGACTTCTGGTTGGGGAAACAGATGATCATGTTGGACATCCGGGACCAAAGGTGTCGAGCATTTTTAACCTCAAGATGCGGTGGACGTGTACGCCTCTACTCCCCTCTAGAAGGCAAAGACGGGGATTT